TGAACATGACTACTGTTTGCTGCTGCTTATATTTTTTTGCTGTAAAGGAGTAGTACCTGACCTTTCCTTATACCTCAGATAACTCTCAAGAAGCACTCATTCTCTCTGGTTTATAAGGCTGTTGCTTCTTGAAGCCCATAATTTCTGTTTCTTACCCTGTTTTTACCCTGGGATAATTTCTTCTCTACCGCTTCTGATATTTCCAATCACTCTTTCCTGTTCTTTTTGTTTTTCCCACCTAGGAAGTACATCCCTAGCCTTTTGGGCTGTCAGGCTATCGGGCAGCTGGATAGCCCTTTGAAACGGGTAGGCACACTGTGACAGAGAGGAGGTGAGCAGCCAGTCCCTGAGACTAGAGGTAGGCAAGTTACTTTAACTGGGTGAAGCCCCGCTCCCTCTGGAGCTAGCGGTAGTAGTGTCGGTTCGTCTGGCAGAGCTGGATGTAGGGGTAGATGGAATGTGTGTCTGTCGTGCATAGAGGGGACTGGTGAGAGCAGACTGTTCTTGAACAGTAGTGTTCTCCAGAGGTGAACCATTGATCAGGTCGGGTGATTTAGAACTGTCATGTAGCCGTTGTGACTGGGCGATGAAGTTTTAATGGCAAAGCAGTACCACTGCCAGTAAGCAAGCAATTTCACCGTGCAGCAGGACTTCGTCTGACTTCCTTTTCCCTTATTGCCAAGCTGAACTATGTTATCACACTGGAAATCTGAAGAATCTTCTGGATGTTGCTTTTCCCCTATTGTGTAGGAAAAAGCACAAGTGTTTGATAATGAATTCTTGTTTGCTACTTGCATCTGATATCCTGATGCAGCTTCCAAGTAGGCATCTTGGTGTATGTCACCTTTCCTTTAGTACTTTTCATAAAATGATAGATAACAAGCCTTCCTTTCTCTATAGCCGGTAATTTAAAGCTAGGGTCTGTGAGGAGTAAAAAATTTTTCAGTAATGTGAAGAGAACTTTGATGGAATTCAAATGGCTTGGAAGTAAGGAAAGTGGTTAACATGCTTCCATAATACCCAAAGTAAACTGTGGTCATTATATATTCAATCTTCAAATGTGATTCCTGAGTAAGAAAATGCATTAATGATGCTGAAAAGATTTATCAACACACCTGTGTTCAAATTTTACCATGTCATGAACTAATATCCCCATTCAAGGAGAAGAGAAAACTAGTGTGACTGAGCATTTGTATACCAACAGGCAAAGAAACTAAGTGGGAGAGTGTTCGAGTGTTCCAAGGCCCTTTTTAGCTCTATAAAGTAAAAAACCACAAAAGACACAACACACCCCTCCCCGCCCTGAAACAGTCCTGATAGAAAATGTAAAAAGGCATAAACATTATGCAGACAGATGCAAACCTGCTCTCACATCTTGTAGCTACTTGAAAATCGGTTAGCTGTTACATCTGCAGAGCTTTGTCTTTGATCAGCGAGTGCTTAGAGAGCTGCCATCAAGAGAAGATGCTTGGTTACTAATGTGACTGTAGAGAATTCCTACCTTGTCAGCACTATGTGAAATGGGTGTCTTTTCAGCAGTTGCGTATCCAAGGCAAGAATTGTGGCAGCATCCCAGTCTCCACATCACAGGAAGTTTGTTCAGCCCAGCAATCTCCTTTCCGAGTTGTAAATGCTGTTTTAGGATTGCTATTTGTCCTTCCTGTCAGTGCTTCCAGTTTTGTTCCTTACTTTGTAGTGTATAAGGGTCCTACTTGAAATTTAGGAATGAGGTAGTGAAATACCAGTATATTACAGTGTCATGCCGTTAAATATCTCTAAGTTGTGAAGATGCAATAATGAAATTATTGTATTTGTCTTCCGGGTGAGTGTTTCTTACAGATACTCATACTGATCAAGTATTTCTCCAGAATTCAGCTCTTTGACTGAGCTTCTGGAACGCTGTGATTTATTTCTTAGCTCAGCCAAATTAGAGAGTACCAAAGGCTATCTGTGGATTGATTAACCAGGATGGAAGGGAGGAGTAAGTATATTCACTTATGTTGAGACCCATAAAGTCCTTTTTCCGTTTTTGAGACACTACAGAAACGATGTTTTCAGGAGTTCATAGCTAGCTCATCAGTTCTTGCAGAGGAAGGAATAAACCCTAGGAATGTTGTTTATTAAAATATCTCTGCTGAGATTATGTAAAACACCTTCCTAGGGAAACTGATTGGAATACAATTTTACAGTACTCTTGCCGTAGAAGTTGGCTTCAGGTGAAATTTTGATAGCATGTTTCCTTGTCTTTCATTCACATTTGAACAGAAAGAAATGTATCAGTTGAAATAAATCTTTTTTCAAGACTACCTGTGAGGCACTTTCAAGCCAAGTTCTCCGGTAGGACACCCCAAGCTTTTTGTCCACCTATCTTTAATACAAGGAGCAAGTGTCTTGTAAAAAGAATACAGCGAGAAATTGGGAAGTCAAACCAGTTACTCCTAAGTAATAGAGGCCTAGCTTCAGAACTTGTTTCTACAGTTTAGGTGCCAATGAGAGGGGGGAAAAGGTCTGCTTTACTTCAATAGTAGTTCTTCACACATTCTTTTTGTTGTAGAGAGGTACTGCGATCATGCTGTTGTCTGTTTAAAGGAAAACACGTATCAAACGAGATATTTGTGACAACCTGTAATAGTTTGTTAAATAGCAATTTAAGTTGTCACAGATTCTGTTCCGTAAGAGGAAAAGCTAGCTCTTGTAGTCTTCCAGTTATATAAAAAAATAAAAATCAGACAAGTCTGCAAAGCTATACCTGTAGATACAACTGTTAATCTCATAGCTTTGTTGCATTTTATTTTAAACCACTATAGTGTCGATATACTTGAATTCCAGCGACGCAAGTTCCAGTTGATGTAGTTTTAACTAGCCGATTTCATCAGCGTTCTGTTCCCACTTCACTAAGAGTAATTATCAACGATTGCAGAGCCTCTTCTGTAAATGAGAAGCAGGCTTGCTATGGTATATGCACATAGATTGCTGTAGTGACCAAGTCTTGAATAATTGCTATGTAATGGGGCAGAAATGTTGACTCCCTTTATGGGACAGAACAGTATTTCCAAAAGTTAGTGTTTCTAAGTTTGCTTTAAGGACACACACGTGCAAGTATTCCTTCTCTGTGTAAGGTTTTAATTTAAAATGAAATCTGAACTGCTGTAGACTTTATTGTGATTTAAGCTGGAACTATTCAGGATCCATAGAGTTTGCGAGACCGGTCTGCATGCACCCTTGTGTTTGATGTCTAACCTGAACTGACGTCTGATCCTCTAGGAAAAGCTCAGTCATCGACAGCCAGATTTCACAGTCTGCCATTCTTTGTAAGCAGAAAGTTCTTCAGTGGATTGTACTGAATGGGAGATCGATTTAAGGTAAATACAGGTTCGGCTGCAGAGTCAGGAAGAATGGGCAGGATTATATATTATGATGTGCCCTCTAGGAGTCAGAATTCTGAATTGCTGAACAAAATGGAAAATAACAGAAAGCAGAATTTGAGGACACGTTTTCACAGAGTAAAGCACAGGGTTTGAGACGGGGTGCTTTTTTAGAAAGCATGCTGTAGTTTAAACAGAAACCTGAATAAATCAAACTAGACTATCACAATGATTTTTCTGTATTGTTATACTGACACAGACTCAGCAAATAAAACTTCTGAGAGGCAACTGCAGTATAGATGACACTCAGAAATGTTTACGTTTCCTCAGGCAAAGATCTGGAAGTCTGTTTAAGAGTTTTAGAACATGGTGTTACCGGTCCCGAGTCCTCAATACCATGACCAAAGTCCAGTGGGTTGCATCAAGGCAAATTTTATACAGCAGAATAAAACTGTGCCAACCTATCACGTCAGATTTTTGTAGACGATGCAATAGCAACCCTTCTTAAAAAAAAAGTTTCACTTCCATATCGGAGAGTAGCATGAGGGAAAGTGACAGACAGCATTATGGTGTGGGATGAAAATAGCTATTTGTTTTTTGCTTTGCAGTGAGAAACGGGTGTTTCTCTGCTGTAGTGTGTTCCTAATTTTGCATTTAAAGCTACAGGTTGTAAGTTGCTGTCTTTTGCCATAGGTTAGTTCTGTAAATTAGCATTTGTTCACAGAGCATTTCCTTTAATGTCCACTTGAAAAAATAACTGGGTGCATCCTGTCAAAGTCCATTAAGCAAAGGGTCAAACTGTTTTGCACATGTTGCCACGTGCCTCTCATTTAATAAATCAGCCTGACAAATCAGGTATAATGTTAATCACTGAAGAAGTGATGGCTGGCAGGTACTCTGCTTTTCCTAGCAAGACCTTCCGTAGCGTGATTATCACCCTTAGTGGATGGAATGACCATATGGATAGATCTTTTCACAGAAATGCGTTAATCACACTTTCCCTCAAATTTGTGTAAATCATACGAATACCCAAGCTCTATCTGCTGTGGCTTTATGCCCTTTCCTGTTACCTGAGGAGTTTAGAAAGCAAGGGGGTCCACTCTGAACCTCGGGACTCAGTGGGATGATCTTTTGTACTCTTTGTGTTGTCAGTCCCTGTGTGGATCATTCTAACTTGAATGTAACTAAATTTTCTTTTGCAAGTTTCTTCCATGGAGTAATTGGTAAGGTGAACCTTGCCATCACACCTATTGAACCTTGTCAAACCACTGTTAAACTTCGTTAAATTCCATCGAATTTATTGAACTCCATCACATTATTATTTTAGCTCAATAAAACATGCTGCTGCCTCTCTGAGTGAGGTGCATTCTGCTCATCCATGACAGGAGGATATGAAAATTGCAGTTTTCTAATCAGGTCTAGCATTTTGTGGCAGCAATGCAGGATTTCCAGTTTCAAGGAACAACAGCAAGCAAACATACTTTTCCTTAAGACTGTCCTGGTGGAGATGCATGCCTTTTCCCAGTGTAGCCTTTGTAAAATTTACCAACCACTTGTTTGGACTGAAACCAGAATGGAGGTAAGTAGCCGCGGTTGACTGAAGCAGTGCTACCCAAGAGGAGAGTGGAAGTGAAATAAAATACCCACATTGACTGAGTTTATTCAATTTGTTGCATTTAAAGCTGAACCAATTTTCTTGACGCTTTCTCAAGCATCAGCTTTTTTTCTGGTTTATTGTCTGGAATCATATTAGCACTTCTCTCTGCTCTCAGCATTACTGAAGGACGTTTTTCCCTGACTCTCTCTAGACCTCTTTGTGTTATGTTCCGGCAGAAATCCACGTGGAGCGTTTGCAGTGATCCCCCGTAGAGGGTCACTGCTTCCAGTGTCTGGTCAGTGATCCGCACACAGTTTTCCAGTTTGAGTGTCTTGAGGTTTGGGCAGTTCTTGAGAAGCAGCAAGATGCAATCGTCTGTAACGTGGCCACATCCGGACAGGGTCAGCGATAGCAGGTTTGGAGATCTGAAAACACGATCATGACAGGTGAGATGAGGGGAGAAACAAATCATGGCACTTGGAGAAGCTAGTATTGTCAAGAATAAGTAGGAAGGGTAGTGAAATGCCTCCTCCTCGATCAGGAGGGCTACGAATGCATGAGTAAGTGGGGGCATCTGTAGATCTTAATGTTCAGCTTTACTAATGGCAAAACTTGCCCCCTTTGCTTTTTCTGTTGGTAGCAACATCCATAGCTGAGTTGGCATAATGGAAGAGGGGATGTGGCCGCCTAGTTAAGCTGCAGCTGCCCTGTTTTTTCTTAAGGGGTTGCATGGTGCTGCACTTCTCCAGGCGCGGCGAATGAAGACCCAGTAGAGATGAGGTTCAAGTGAGGATGAAGGTGAGGACACTTGAGTGAAGAGGCTGCTGTGTCGATATGCTGAGCGTGGGCACGACAGACACTCCCACTCCTGATTTTACAGGGTTTAATGGGTGTGTTTCAGCTCCCTGGATATACTGAGTCAGTGCCAGCCACTACCTGAGAGTGTCACTGTTTGAACCCCACACAACTCTTAAACCTTCCTTTAAATCATTGGAACTGCTAAGAACTCTACGGTTAAGCAATGATGCAGCAAATTTTAAAAGCTTTCCTTGCTGTTGTTTGGATAGACGTGGGAAAGTACAGAAAAGGCCTGTTCCAAGTCTGATGACTTATCCTAACTGTCCTTGTGCAGGAAAGCGGAGCAGACCAGTTGCTACTAGCTGTTGTGCTGCCCAGGCGTGCTCGCAAGGACCCTTCTGCACCAACCTGCCAAGCCTTTTGTACGAAGTGTGTGGTTTCTGGCTTACACCTCTCTGCAGGGAGCAGCAGTTCAGCTATCCATCTGTTTGTGTTTCTCTATTAGCACAGGACTTCTTTAGGCTCGGTTATCATGGGGAAAAATGATAGCAATGTTCATGTTGATCTTGGGAGATCTTTGGACAGAACTATTAGCCTGCCTCCGTCCTGTAAGGTAACTGTGTCTGTAAGCACTTCATGGAAGATTAGTGCTTGCAGCCTGTATCAGGGCTTTTGGTGTGGCACCATATGTAGTGCAGTGGGGACAAAGAGGGATGTTTCATCACTGCAGTGGGTTTTTTTGCCCTTAAAAACTGGTACATAGTACATTCCTCTTTCTCTACAACCTGTCCCATCCCCCCCACTGCTGCTTGACTTCACCTTCTGAGCAGCGGTAATAAAGTGAGTGCATGATCTTTTTTTCTTACGCTTTTGCTTTACACCTAGGAAGAGTGAGAAAAACAAATGATGTAAAGCAGGCAAGGTCAAGAAAGGATGCAACCTGCCATTCCGTGCAGCTTTGTCAACAGAAGAAAATTATTCCGAACTCAGGGGAAAAAGCTGTATATTTGATTAATTTGCAGTTTTCTTTGCACTGAATGCTAGGAATTTTGTTCAGATGGAAATGTTTTCAATGGGTTGCTGCAAAAAAGGCAGGAAGGAAGGCTAAAATGGATGGGGGGGGGGGTGTGGGAGGGGTGAGTGGTAGCATAAACTGTCATTTGTAGGAGTTCAGTTTAACTATTGGAATCGAATGTACGTAAGGCTGAAAGGCATTTGCTGAACTTCTATAGACTTTGGAGATTTCTCAGTACCCAGGCTTTGCTTTGAATTTTGTCCAGCAAGCCGTTTGGGATTATGAATTTCTGCAGAAGAGAAAGGCACTTAAACTATTTCTGCACAGCTGTGGTCCTGTGTCCTCTTTCTGAATCTTAATTTGTGATAGCAAAAAAAATTGAAATAATCAAGTGTGGCCTCACAATAGACATTCCAGTGCCAAAATGAGAGAATACTTCCTCCTACACCCTCCTTTGTAGGCAGAGATGTTCTTCTTAATGATACTTTGCTAATTAATCCAAATTTTTTCTCAGTTGTTCTAGAACAGTTACTTCTGTTACTTTGTACTTGCAGCTTAACATTCTGTTTTGAACCTACATTTCAGTCTTGGTTTGAGATTGCACTGCTGCTGGTTCTCAGCAAGACACCCTGTCCTGTCAGTACCCTGTAATTTGCTGGGTTCTTTAAATTGTTGCTTCCAAATAGAACTTTTTGGCTTCTGTGTTGCGGCGCAAAGCGGAGAGCTAGCTGTTGCACAAGGCATGCTGTTTCAGGACAGGCACTGACATGCCCCTTTCAGCTCTCATGTAGCACCACAGCCATCCTCAGTGTTACTAAAACACTAGGATTGGCTCTACCCCATTTGCTACTCCAGTTTTTTTTTTTTTCCCTTAGAGCTGCTTTTTAGCAGTAAAGCTGTTTTAAGAAATGGTGTGTACCCAGAGCTGCTTTTCCATAGTGTTATTTTCCTTTACTGTAGCTTCTAAAAGGCCTAGATTGAGTTAAGGTTCAGTATAAAGCCAACACTTATTTTTTAGAATGAAACACATTTGGTGTTTAGTAACATGGCTAATGAACTTGGTTTTGTTATGACATATAGTCACTGTTTGAAGTCAGGTCTTCCCTCTAGCCCCTCCTCCCAGGACAAGGCTTTGCACTGCCTTAACTGGTTTCAGTTAAGCAGCAAGGTAGTAGGCAGCACTGCACTTCTCTCTATTAATTACTCATTCTTCCCCCAAAAGTTAGGCTTAAGTAAAGTCAATATGAAGTACAAGCTATTGCCACTATAAAGCCATCTTAACACTCTATTAAAACTGCAAAGTCAAAGCACTCACGTACCTAATGCTCCATTTCAGGTAGGATGTACAGAGCAAATAGCTCTCAATTGCCTTGCCTCAGGGCAGTTAACCTTTACAGTAGATGTAGAGTTTCAAACCCAAAGAAACATACCTGTTGCAAACTTCTAGTAAAAAATCATTGACAACGTTTTCATGCCTGTTACAGAAGTCTTTCTGGAAATCGTTTTTCATCCAGTCCTCAACGTTACAGACCTTGACTCTCTCTGAATACCAGCAGATGGATAAGTATTTTAAAGCAGGTCCCAGGAGAAAATTATCCTTCTTTAGTTCCGCTGGAGAATGAAAGTTCAACAAAGACCACAGTAAAGGATCCCGAAACACTTCTAGCAGCTTGTGGCATGTTTTTGCTAAACTTTTCCTACTGTTTTTGTCCAGAAAAGAATATAAATGTAAAAGGCATTCTCGATTCAGCTGGGTTATATGCATAGCCTGGCCGAGCGTGTTAGAAAGAACGAGTGTCTCCCAGCCCTGTGGAATAAAGGCAGTGCTGGAGGGGGCTTACAATCACCAGAAGGCTGTTGCACATATATGGTTGTGGAATGGTGTTTATTTTTGGCAAACAGCTGGTGCACAAGCAAAGCACAGGGAAAGGAAAAGAACATGCATGCGTGAAACTCTTGTTCTGGTTCTACAAGGGAATGGAATGGGCATGTAGAATAGCAGCGCTCGCCTTTCATGAAATGCTTCCTTAAAAGGGATTTCTTTCCTTTTAGGCACTTCTGAAGTTAAGAGTTCTTGTGCTGAGTTCTGAGCTGGGGGGTGTTGCTACAGCTGCAAGCAGTAGCTTTGCCAGCCTCTCAAGGCTGGAGGATGGGGCTTTCCGAGCTGAAGTGGGTGTTTGCAGTGTACAATGTCAGCCTGGATTTGTTCATTGATTTTTTTTTTTAAGGTTGGACCCTTGCTTCATGTTCAGGGCCTTTTATCTACTGGATACAGAACTTTCACAGACAGCTTGTAAAATCAGCAGCTTCAGTTCACAAGCCTCAGACTTAGGGGCAGTTCCCTGCGCCCTGTTACTTGAAAAAACAAAGCTAGCTGTTCCCCTACCTTTTGCACGAGGGGAAGAAATAATACACAGGACATGCATGGGACCAGCCAGTCTCTTCCAGTAGAGGTCTTCAATTACCTTGACTTTAACAAGTTTCCTTGCAATGTTTATGTTTTCATAGGTTTAGTTGTGTTACCAAAGACTTGGCGGCTTTGGTGGGAAAAGGATAAATAGAATTGGCTTTAGGAATAATAGTGTTTAGTTTCTAGTAATGAGAGAAACTGTAGCAGAAAGTCTCTCCTAGAAGAAAAATAAATCTACAGCAAATGGCAGGCTGGAATTAAAAGTAACGCTAACTTTCTGAAATAAGAGTGTTTGAGATAATGGTAGTTTATGCCTATCTTCTGGCTGGTGTTTATACAGGAAAATAATACACGCAACTAATTAGTAGATATTAACAGCAAAACAACCCTGCAGGCTGTGTTGAAGTAGTTTGCACATTTTGAGAAGCTGAGAGGTTTTCTGTACCTATGTGTTTTAATTGGTCCCCTATCCCATACTGAAACTCCCAAATTCATCTTTTCCTTCTCACCCTAAGAACGCAGTTTGAAATTCAACTCTGAAAAACAAGATTTGAAATGTGTTTGCAGTCTGCAACCATTATTTCAGCTGCTTATCTGTGTGTGCTCGTACACAGTGACTAAAAAAAAAAGTGACTGTTTAATTCTTTAGTTAGTGATTTTTCTAGCACGTATAGTAAACAGCACTTAACAGTTGCTAGTCTTTTTGGTTGCATATCCTTTGTCACTTAATATTTTCTGTGAAATGAGGAGGAGATTCCTGCTCTCCGCCCATGCTTAGAAACAGGCTCTGGCCAGTGGCACGAGCCCTGTATGAAGCCACAAAAGGGACAAGAGTAGACTATTTCACATACCAGGTAAGTCAGTCACTGGAAAACTGCAGCTTAAATAGCGTACCAGCAGTTGTTGTTCTTCATTCTCATGCTAGCATTTTCAACTCTCTCTCTGTCCCTTCGTCCTTTCTAGAACTTACCTTCGTTTTGGAGTAGTTGAGACTGCTCAGAGTTTTAATACTCGCAGGAATATTTTTTTTATAAAAACAAACCTATAAGCAAGCAAACTTGAATGACAAGGTTACCATTGCTAGGGTTGGTCTCTTATGACAATCTGACATCAAAATTAACAGCTGCTGGGTGACAAGCCCCATGAACAGCAAGGCCTCTTTGGGTGTAGATGCTAAGTTGTGGTAGAGGTGGTAAATAGTGGCAACACTTCACGTTGCTTTACTTTGTTTTCCCCAACACAAGGTGAAATCCATCTGTGTTGAAAGAATTTACAGTAATGACATTCTGCAAGCCTGCAGAAGGACAAGAGGAGTTTCATTTTCTAAGGAAAGCAGACACTTTAATGGCACATTTTCCATAAACACACTGTGTGAATGAGATATAATTCACATTCAACCTGGACATGCTCCAGGAACACACACAAGATGAGCACAGTCAGTAATCCTCACTGAAAATTACACACTAGGTTTTTAATGGTAAACAATTACAACTATGGCACTACAGTACTTGAGGATATCCTAAAGCACATTGGAATCTATTTTCAAGGTGCCGATTACCTCATCAGTAAGACACAGACACATCAGTAATGAAACATCATTGGGAGAACTTCTGAAAACGACTTGTTATGCTTTCCATTCACTTAGTAAAATCCTTGTAAGTGGACTCCTGCTTTTGATACAAAATCCTTGCCCCTGAAAGGTTTAAAATCTCTCATGCTGACATCGGTTACCACCTGGAAAGCACCTCCGGAGTATAAATGAGAAGGAGCTCTCTTTGTAAGCAGGTGCCTTAGAGTTTTGCATAATGCTGCACTTAACAGCTCACTATCCAACACGCTAAAGCAGATGTACGCAGAGAGCTGGGCATTTTGCAGTTGTGTTTTACAGAAATCTTGTCTCCAGTTGTTTATGTGGCTAAACAATTACTAACAAAAGGACAACCTTCGATCAGACAAATTTTGGTGAAAAATACGCAAGGCTTTGAACTGTAGAGAGCAGTTGTTGCTTGCAGAACAGTCACAAGCAACAGAAAAAATCTTGCCAGTTAGTGTGTACTATGATCAGCAGTAAGTAGAAAAGAAACATTTGGCTTAAATGAAATTAGATAACACCCCCCACCCTCCCCAACTAGTAGATAAATATAGAATATACAAGTAAGGTTAAAAATGTAATACTAGGCCAGGTGCAGTATATGTTACTGGTTCAGTGCTCAGTTACCTTTTTTTTTTTCCTTTTGACACCACACTGAATAGAATACAGCGGATAAGCAAAGTTCTCCACCAGGAAGAGAAATACTTGTGTTGCCACAACAAACTGTTCATACTGTCCATCTGGGTTTGCAGTGGGAAAAAGTTAAATTAGGAAAAGATTTACGATGTGCTCGTTCCAGCAAAGCATATGGCTGAGTCCTTATCACCACGTGCTGTAAGAACAAGCCTGACGTGATTGCATTGTGTTCCCATGGCCGAGGCGCACACGGGCCATGCTGGACAGATCCCATCGCCCAGGACCTCCGTGTTACAGAGCCAGTGTTCCCGCAGGGGAACGGTGAAGTGAAAACGTAACTCTGACCACAAATATTAACTGGAGAAGTAAGAAGCTGCTTAAAGTAAGTAAGTGAATGTTGCTGAAGATTACAAATTTAAGTTTCTAAAAATACAGAAAGGCACATTTACATCACTGGTTTGCAGGAACACTGCATACACCCGACTACTGTAAGTTAAACTGCTTCTGGCCCACTGGCTAGTTGTGTATTTTAAGCTTTGTATTCTCGAAACTAAAATTCTAAGGCAATCTGATCCAAGGTGCATGCAGACAGAATGTGGCTACAGATGGAAACTACTGAACTCCCCAACTAACTGTGAGCAGGAAGGCTGCCCTTCAGGGTGGTAATGTGGTAAGATACTTCACTTGCCCCGCCCACCAATGAGGTCTGTCAGATACCTTTTTCTGCCTGTATACACAATAACAGCTACCTCTTCTGATGAGAAGAAAGTCTCTGGCTGCAAGAAACAGAGAAAGGGTAGGTGACAAACTATCTACAACTTCAAGCAATTAATAGTTCTATTTATTGTTCAACTTAAAGAAGACATCCTTATATATGTTACTTAAGGTATCAAATAATAATCACAATAGCTTTTAACTAGTGTACAGTTTACATAGTCATACACCATTAGCAATGCGGAATGCTTTCTGCAGTTTTATATTAAGCCAATTTCTGTCTTTCCTGGTTTAAGATGCTGTGAAAAAGCTATGAAGAATGACACTGTAAAAAACATCTGATTGTGATTTCTCTTACTATTTGGCAGTGTACAGCTAGCGGGTAACCCACAGTGGGGAACTGACGCGTACTCCATGTGCACCACTTTGAGCTAGGGTACAATCTGCAGGGAAATTTTTACAGTGGACTATGATGTCATCACATCTTTCTTGAGTTCTTGTGTGTTTTCAGACTACCATCTTTTACCACAGCTCAAAGGTGCAGTTTGATTGTGTGAGTCTACAGTAAGTTAGTTCAACTCTTACTACCGTGCTTTTCAAGATGTTAGGAGTGTCCAGTTCCTTGCTAGGCACATGAGGGCCAGCTCAAAAGGATGGGCTGGGGGGAGAGAATGAAAACATAGCATCTGTCACATTGCAGACTTCCTGGGGACTCCTGGCTTTTGCAGTATTGGTTTTCCTGTCCATCTTATTAGCTGACTACCTCTCTCCAGAATGTCTGTACAGCTAAAATGCAGGTGTTTTTTTTCACAAAAGTCCTTCCCCATTACATGGTGAAGTTATAGAAATTTTATCACGCCTCCAGTGTTCACCTAGAGACTACAAATAAAGATCCTATTTACACTGGGCCAATGTGTAAATACTACAGCTCCCCAGTCAGCAAGCAGCCCTGGCTCATCACCTCTCCTAAGGCAAGCTATGATCATAAGAATAAGAAGAATAAGCAGTGAAACCAGTTTCGAGTGAACTGCAGGCGTTCAGTGGCCTGAAGCTATATTTTAGACCTCAGACTGTTCTCACAAACCCCAAACTTTGGGGCTGTACTCCCACTTTCCACCAGGAAGGAGGGATGGGGTTCCACTGCCAGGATGTCTCCAAGTTTTCAAGCAAGTAAGTGTTCATGATCAAATTTCAGGATGACAGTCTAAAACAAGAGATGTCTAAGGCAATTCAGGTTTCATTAGAAAAACATAAATCTCAACACAATTTAGACATGTATATATTTTAAAATAATTTCTTAAAAATTTGAAGGAGCATATGTGAAGAATATTTGAATTAAACTGCAATATTGATACAACCGAACCAACTGTTTATTTACAACAATTCCTGAAAGTCAGCAGCCTGAATACACACCAACATAGCAGCAATTACCTGGTCTGTCTAATGATGCCATGTCTCCTCTCTTCTGCAAAGAATGATTGTTCAGAGGTCACTGTTTAATTTCTTGCACGAGGGAAAACTGGTACGTGCAAACAACTCCTTGATTTAAAGAGATTAAATCGTATCTACATAGCATCTGTGAGAACAGAATGAAGTTGTATTGCTCTTCATAATCAGAAGCACATTTATCTTGCTTGTAAGAAGGACAGAAAGCTTCTCTGATGTAAATGTGCCTTTAGAAAGTGAGAACTGAAAACATTAATATAAAAAAGTCAAATAACTAAGTATTTCATGAAACTATATATATAAAAATCGAGTTATCACAACTAAAGCAGCAAATCAAAATCTGCTGAGGTTTTCTGGTATAACTAAAAAAAAAAAAAAAAAAAGTTAGTTTGTGTCCAAGTTCAGTAAGTCAAATGCTACCATTGACACAACAAAACTAAAACCCACAAGAGGAAATTGAAAAGTGCACAATGAAATTAATAGTCTTGGATCAAGTATTTATGGAAAAATGGAAATGTTTTGTCCGGTGGACTTGGTAAGTAAGAATTAAAAGGAGGTATTAAAGTTTGTCTGATCCAGATTTGGCTTGCCGTTCCACGTAGAAGAGGATGTAGGCCTTGGCCTTTACCACAGTCTCCTCGTCGGTCAGAGTTACAGTACTGTCGTTAAAATGGAACCAGCGGCCTTCATGAGCTGCATAGGCGGTGTAATGTCCAGAGCCAACGCTGCCAGCAGGAGGGAGGCAGGGAAAGAAAGGACAATCAGAAGGAGACACACCACCTCATTCTCTGATGCATTTTCTGTTAGGGCTAACAGCCTTCCAGGAACCAGAGGAAGAAAGGAACTGACAGCCCTCCACAACAGCTGGTAAGATGCTTCCCTTCTTAATCTGCAGGGCTTAAAGTTCTCCAAATTAAAGCTTTATGTTAAGTAAAATAATCACTCACTGGGATGAGTTGAAAGATCTTTTGATACGGACTTAGTAGCATCGCAGTTTTTCTGCAAGCAAGACTTCTTGCAACACTGACAAGTCTATTATCTGTTGCTACTCAAGCATGAGCCATAAACATTTCCTTATGCTCCATTTTCTGAAATCCTCCCCATTTAGGGCTAGAAAGACTCACATATTCTAAATATAATCAAAAGCACTCACAGCAAAACTACTCTCAGAAAACCAAGAAGAAAATTTTTCAAGTTCATCTTAAACAGATCCACATCTTGGAGCTGTATTTCCTGACTCTAACATGCCAGAACTCCAAACCCATCAATTTTCATTACCCTGCCAGCCCAAGATAAGGCCTGCTTTCGCTTGCTTACATGTTGTAACACATGCTCAGTATTTCCAACCACCTGATTCCATTCTAATCATGACCAGCTTTCCCTTGCTGTCCATTAGTTTTCCTAGGACTTCGAAGCACCAGTCAGATGCACTGTGGTGCTACAAGGGCTGCCTCGAGCAGTCAGTTTCTAAGAGTCCAGACCATTCCTCTAGGGAAAGCAAAAGGAGGGGCCTTCCTGACAGAACTTTTGGTTTAGTATCTTCGATTTAAATTCAGGTATCAGCAGGGTTTTGATTAATGGAGTTTAGTTTAAGAAAACTCCTTTCGCAGCTCACACCCACAGAGCAACTGCCTAAACGGCAAGAAGACCCCTCTCTCAGGATAAACAGTTGCCTTATCCCTGGTACTGTTACTCTCAACAGATCTGTCCAGGGCAGAAAAAAGGGGAAAACCAAAACAACACCCACCCAGCAACTTTACTTCAAAATGTGAACGCTAACCAGCCTTGTAGCATGCCTACCAGCGTTCACTCCTGTAGGAGAGAAGGTAAATAACAGGGTAATTGTTTTCACTGTGCCAATCTGAAGTCTACAGTTGTTCCAGACATGCAGACACACTGTTTTGGCACAAATGCATATGCACCTTTCAAAGTGAATAAAAGAGGAAAAAATAATTCCTTGTACTAGGAATTTCAAAATGAGGCGTTAACTTCTGGAAGGCTCCTTGACTGATTCACTCTGCTGGTTTAGGGCTTTCCTATTCCTAGAGGAACTAGGCTACTTTCGTTCCGTCCCACACCTCTAGCCATCACCCCCAAAGACTGCCCGTGGGCATTCCCAGGAATAACTATAGATCTATCTGAAGTTAATTTGGCATAGTTCCACATCAGTTTATAATTAACCACTTGTTTCCACCAGTAAAAACAGACATTCACAAAGGACAGGAAAACCTTGATTAAGTCTGCATGTACTTCAGTGGGGAGAAGGTCTCTGCCCAGACGCAGCCTTACTCCAAGTACTCACCCTGAACCGTGGTGCACAACAACAGCCGCAAGGTCGTACAGGCAGCTTTCTGGGCCACTGTTTTCAGGCTGTGGTTAAAACACAGAAAACTCTTCAAATCTCAGTAGCGCCTACCGTAACTTGTAACAAGACACGTGTCATGACACAAATTTCAACCGAAAGTATCTGTGAGTCTTCATACCTCCAACAAGTAGCATTTCATGTCTAGGCCTCGTAAGGGAAACTCAACATACGTATCAACCTTGTTTCTCAGATATGCTGTCCAGTGAAATCGTTTCAAGTGTAAGCATAGCACCTACAGGATTAAAAAAATAAATAACCCATGGATGCAGTGGAGGAAGAGGTTGAACTTAGTGCTAGACATCTGCAGTAGCCTACGGGAGGGTTAGCCAAGTCCTTATTTCCTTTGACATGTTGTCACGCTGTTACTTCTCATGCTTATACAAACCTTTGGTAGTTTTTGAATCCAGAATTTTTTGGTGGACTTCTGTTTCTTTTTGCATTTGTGACACATATACAGCTCTGTCTCATCAAGTTCTTCCAGGTCTGTAAAACTGCGAAGACAATCTAAAAAAGAACAAGATACAAAAAACCAAACACCCACGTAAAGAAACCTGATTTAAGATGACATCAAGCGATTGTTAGTAACATGAAATACAATAAGTACAGCAATACAGAAAAGGAATACATATCTGTTGCAGTCATTCTAGTTATTATATACATTTGTGCAGTAAGAAGGTGTGTAATAAAGTGTTTTAATAGAATAACCTGTTGCAGCATGCAGCATTCCCTGTTCCTGAAAACACAGCTATAAGCAGTTCAAGAGAAAAAAATCTCTCATCTCTCAAACAACCAACCTTCATCACAACTCTCTTCAAAAGAAACTAAACGACCTTCTAACAAAGAATATTCACCTTTTAGAGGTGATCTGGTTTTAGGTGTAAAGTGAACAGTGAAAATAATGGGGTTTTGATTACTGTTTCACAAATCTGCAGTAAGTATATTGACAAATCTGTAAAAATGAACATCTTTTCAAGCAAGGTCAGTAACAGCAGTACTGCCCAACTTTGCAGGACTGTATTTATGTTGTTTAAAGAGCCCAACACCCAAGAGCCATCCTTGCTCTGCACCAGGGGCACGTGGTTCTAAGCAAAGAGCCTTAGCAAATGTCAGCATTCAACAAGGCAGGTGAGCGTTGGTTGGAAAGACTGGAATACGTTAGAAATACTCTGACCACAAATTAAAACCTCCGCTGGAATCCTCCTTGATGTTGAGCTGACCTCCTGGGGCACTTCTCAGCCCTAGTTTATTGTAGCCGTGTATGATTACACAGTGACTGCGGTAAAACCTGCATGGAAAATTATTTTGGTACCTTCTATCACAGGTTCTCCTAACTGTAAATGGAATGTGGCACCAAGTCGCATGCCAGGTGAAAGCCTGGCTCCTGAAATAGATACTCTGAAGAGTGTATACTCTTAGTCCTGGCAGCGATTTCATTACCCACGCACTCTTACCTCGTAGTGTGCACATTGGTCCATTTTCTTGATTTTTAGTTCTTTTATTTCTGAACTGACTTGGAATATCTAGTGAAAGGTCTAGAAACGCAAAACAAAAAAACAGGGCTGAATAAAACAATGCCTAATCTTTTCAGGCTAAAATGCTGGTTCTGTCATGTGCCATCTAAATAGATCGAGCTTCAGATTAGTTTTTCTGCCCTAAGTCACCCGGTATTTTGAAAGCAAGAGGCACCTTACCTAGGAATGGGTCAAACTTCCTGGATTCAGTCCCACATATTAGGCAGTTGACTTCATTTTGAAGAATGCCTCCAAAAATCGCTGTGACAACAGTAGACGCTCCATTTCTAGACAAACCACATCAGAGAAGTCAAGTCAGTCAGAATGTCTGAGCTTAATTTCCGTACCTGTTACACATTTACTGCTTACAACTCATGGCTGCTAGGCAAAGCAGTTGGGTCCATGTGTAACAAACAGTGACTGAGGTCCTCCAAGGGGCATTTAATTCACCCCAGAATTACACAGTGCAAGTATTTAGCTGCTATGATACTTTTGCTTTATCTTGTACCTAAAGAAAGTGTGAACCATGCATGCAGATGCTCAAAATTTCAGTGTTGAAAGTATTCTGGTTGGTTGCATTTCTGTAGTGGGGAGCTGATGCTCACGGAGGTACAGTGTTTTTACCTTTTAATTAGGGCTGCTTCTGAAACAAAAATTCTTCCCTCTTAGGTAGATCAAGCATATTTTTTTTTAATTCTACATCCTTTGTTACAAGTAATTCTGACTTTTTAAAGCGTATTTCTGCACTTTACTTCCAACAACAGCTTAAGACTGTCTTAGCTGCCAAAGACAGCAAGGACAGCAGCTTGAGTTGCATCAAGAATATGATAAGCAATATGCATTATCATCATTGTTCTCTGTGCTTTCATTATTCTCTCACTTAAATATTCCTAGCAGATTATGTATTGGCCTTGTCATAGTCCAATTAAAAAAAAAAGTTATTTAAGTTACGTTATTATACATTTTTAAAACTTGCTAGTTTGTGCTTGCTGATCTGACACTGCAGGCCTGCAGACGCCTGTGTTCCTTACCTGTACTCCACCTACATCTTTACCGTTCATCTGAACAGTTCTTGTTGAACAGCAGGAAATGGCTACTCAAATAAACTGGCACTCAACAAGAGAGCGCTCTCAGCATATTCACTACTTTGTTGTACCATTTCAGTCTATGTGACCTTACTTTGCCCTTGACAGGACAGCTTGCTCCACCCTCAACATGTATTTGAACAGTCATTCTCAAGAAACATTTACTTGAGCAGTTTAAATTCTCCTTGGGTTCTGACATTCAGAATGTTGACAAAATAAAATTACCTTAGTTTTGTCAAATACACGTCAATTCTAAGAATATTTTAAGATTCTTTTGTGGGATTTTTAAGCATCAGGAAAGCATCATAGTCTTGGTAAAAGGCACAGTCTCAACTCTAGGCTTCTCCTAAAGAAGTATCTATACAGTCCTGCATCTCAGACCCGCTTACTATGTCCTCATCAGTATAGGAAGGGAAAACTCACTCAACTGTTAGGTAGGGAATCCAAGGACTTAGGGACCAAATGTGCAGGCTGAACTGACTTAACATTCCTTCCTGAAGCAAATTAAAACGTTTTCTCTGTGACAGTTTCAATCTGAGAGAAAACACACCTGGGACAGATTTCAGAAACAACAGTATTTTGAGAAATACAGGAAGAGGAGTGAAATACATCAGTTACCTCTGTTCCAAGACACTCAGTAACATGAAATTCACAGTACCAGGAAAAAAAGCAACAACTTTAACTGTGTCAAGCAATAAGCAAACATAGCAAGATCATCTGCAGGAAAATTGACTTCAAACTAACTGCATTACTCAGTCGTCAGGAGGTCTGCTGACAATTTAAACCTACAAATACTTGGCCATCTTTTTTGCTGCTGTACCATTCAGGCCATCTAGCACCCTAAGGCAACGGGATGGTGTGAACAGAAGAAAGAATTCCACATGGGTATAGAATAGAAAATGCAGAGTTCTTTCTTTTATTTCTAAAAGCCTAATGAATTAAAATGTGTTCACAACTTAGCCTGTATGCTCAATCACACCTATGAAAAATGCTCATCTAAAGCACTTCCTTTTGAAAGGAAGCACATCCTACAGGATGCTAATCCTCTATAACCAGCAGCTTTGTAATTCTTAACATTATAGAGGGACTAAAGGAAACTTAAACAAGGAGCCATGAATTTGAAATTTCAGCTCCACCACACACAGACCCACACTAAGGCATTAAGGTTTTGAAAAGAATAAACACTTCTTACATGCAACATTTATTGCTCGCAGACAGGCTAGAATTTTCTTGCAAAATTACTGAACGTGAAACGCCATTGAAGCCACCCTGGAGTTCCAGGTGTAGATGGTCCAAAAGGTAACGCATGAACTCGTGGGCATCCTGTTGCTGGTATCCCCTTAAAAGAAAAGGAAACAGCAACCAAATCAGCAAATATACAGGTTGCTTTAGAGCCGACACACAGAGAGCAGCAGGGTCACAGGCAAGAACCTTTGCTTGTTAGTAATACTGAGCAGACTTTACAGGCACAAAGGTATTTTGTACCAAAGCAAGTTTCCAAGGAGCCTGTGGAAAGGTACAGTGATGTCTTGACAAACTGAGTGATTCTGGTCCTTCACAGCTCGCTCACTCTCTGCACATCATCTTTTTGAGGATGAAGAAACATTTAAGAATACACATTTTAGATACGAAGAGACCTTTTAGAAAACAACAGGGAGCAGCAGAGACATAACATTTGCTCACGTATTCAGTTAACAGAGCTGCCATGTTCACTGGTCTCACCAAACTCAGTCTGTGCTAATAACATCCCAGGTCTCATAGATGGGTTAAGTAAAAGTACGCGACAGTAGCAGTGACTTCCCCTCACGCACGCAAAGCTTGCCTCCCTTTTCTTTGTTATTGACTATATTTTACTAGTACCTCCACAGAATTGTTATGAATCACGTTCAACCAGCACACTATTTATCCCTACTTTGAAACTACCCTAAGTTATGATCAATACACTGCAAACCCAAACTTGGTAGGATTCAAAAGAAAGACACCACAAAATGTATTGTTCGTGTGGGATTCAGAGTCAGTATTTGAGTGGTTTCCATTCAGCCACTGATCCCACTCACTTCAGCAGTTCCAGGTATTTGCTTGCCCGTTGGCTTCCCTCCCCACCAAAGCCAGGAGTTTAATCTTCGGGTTTGTTTTCCACATGCATCTTTCAGAAACGATATGAAGTCCGACATAATTAGGATGAGATTTCTTTCCTCTTCTAGGGCGCGATCTATAGCCATGCTCAGAATTGCACACCTCCCCTGCACAACCCACACACCAGCTGTTGGGAGCGGGAGGTAATGGTGGGGTATCCAGGGCATCTCTCGAGCATTCGGATTTGGCAGGATAGGGCTTCAGTCCCAGATGTGTCACGCTATCAGCAGCAATGCTGCTTCAAGAGTTACCATTATTGTGTTGCCACTAACAAACTTAATCAAAGGGAACAGAGAAGCCACCAGCGAAAAATGTGCCTTTACAGTTAATATAAGCGAAATAATGCATCAAATTTAACAAATGACCACTATTTATTTGCCATAAGATGTATACTGAGATGAAGTGGGAAAAGCATACATAGTGAAACAAACTCTGTGCAACACTGACATAATTACATGCAAGTCTGTTACAAAAATCCCTACACCCGAGAGTTGGCTTTCCCTCTTCCTCTTGTACATTAGTTGAAGCTGCTTTATCATGCCTCCCCTGTTCCTTTTCCTCCTCACCACTCCACTTAAGTATTGGCAGTAACTGCCACACAGCAATATCTGGGAAAGAACAACAGAGATGGGTTTATGCTACTGCTCAGGGGAGGGAAAATGTCCGTAAGACTCACAGCACAGTACTCGGAGAGAAACAAGAGTTGGTGTAACAGAAGTAAGCAATGTCAGCCTGATGTGCTTAGTGAAAAACACAGGTATGTCCTACAAAATTATTGCTAGGAGGTAACAAAAATTAAATAAAGCCTTTTCCTCTTGTAGAACCACAGTAGCAGCTTTAAAAGAAATCACCAACTTTGTCTGTAGGTCTTAGAGCACCCTGAAAAACATCAGCTGCGCTACCTACCTTTTACAACAGAAAAACTGGCACAGCTGGCACACAGAAACACTGCTGTGCTTCCACTGGCCACAGTCCTGTACAGCCAAAAATAGGACTTATTCTCCCATTGTTGAGTAATATATATTATTATGAAACAAATCAGTAAAACACAACTCAGCTTCAAAGCTGCACATTAACGGTGCACACTGTAGGGCGATTTTGAAGTTGTCGAGATAACACAGGATTTGCTTAGTTTACTGATTGCAGACATCTTCAATTTAATAAACATAAGCAATCAAAATAAACAAGCTAAACATTAAGTTTATGACAAGGCTTTGCTTCAGACACCTTTTCAACATTAAATTCCTCATAAAAGAGCTCTGAAGTGCACAGCACACTTGCTCTGCAACAAATCTGATGAAGTAACCTCTGGCATCATTCCACATTGTTGGTTGTGTTCCTGATGCATGTGTTTATAATTACAGAGGAAAAATTCCTTGGATTTCATAAAAGTGTAAGTATAGATATAGATCTTTAAAAGAACACGATGATATGGATGATGCGCTGTTTAAAATAAACTACGGTCTTAAAAGCAAAAGCAGTTTCTCCAACAGTCAGCTTGCGTAATAAAACTGATCTCCATCCACCTGAAGCAATTCAATTCAAGCCGACCTCTGACATTCCTTTCTCTACTGACAACAGAATATAAACGGGAACAGTTACTAGGAAGACAGAGCACACTATTTATACAGCACTAAATCAGCAAAATACACGTCTTGCAACTGAACATGAGACTACAGCGCTATCTCGTCATGCAGCAGAATGACAGCAGCAGACGTCGTCCAGCAGCCAAGGAGCAGGACTTCGACAGCAGCAGGAGAGCCCAGAGGCACTCCGGTTGTGCTTACAGTACCCATATATGCTACTGTGCCCCCTGGACACACTACGAGGCAGAGGGCCACAGAACGCATCCGCAGCGGTTCTTTCTGTGACCTCCCATAAGAACAGCAGCACCTGCAGTCCTTGGAGGCAGGCACAACGTGCCTTTAACAACTAAAATCTCTTTGGTCTAAAACAATTAAACCCCATTTCTTACCGTGTTTCCTCCCCTGTCCCATCACTTCAGGCTTCCTAAGTACAAGCCGAAGCTGCTGGTTTGCTGTTACCACGCTACTGGCTCCAGCTTGCTTTCATGTCTACATCCATCCACCTTCTCCCAATCTCACAAGAAGCGCACAAGGTAGAATTAGAATTGTAGTATCATCAGTTTTTACAAGGTACAATTAAGTACTGAACCAAATCATATTTTCTCCTGGATCACGTTGGGAGCAGGGATCTACTGAGCAACTTCCTCTATTCTCCGTGTGATATAACGAGTTCTCTTACCAAGTAATCACTGACGTGCTCCTGACTAACTAGGAGTAAAAAGGGAAGGGGGACAACCCCAACAAACAGCACTTTTAAAAGCTGTGATAGAACCCACAGTGCTGAAAATTTGCTCAAAGAACTTTAATAAAGTTGTTTGTCACTTAGTGTAACAAGAACTAAGAGTATAATAGGGAAACTGGTCAAGGACATTCTGGATGATGTTCATTTCCCTATACTGTTTTGGTCACTGCTTGCAACTACTGGTAATAAACTTCCTTGATTCTCATAAGCCAAGTGAAACATATTTGTCAGTGTGAAGAACAGAGTAAACAGATTTGTGTTACTCAGGTTACTCACTGAGCAGATGTGTTCACAGCATCTTTTCAGCACTGCTGGAGATGTAACAGATAACAGAGTATCTTTACTACCTGAGAACATGGAGCAACTTACCTTCATCACAATATATCCTAACAGGTTTCAGTGCTCCTTTGAAAGAGGTTCAGGGGCCAGGACAGGGAGACCTTGGAGAGGAACGATACTTCGATTTACTTGGGGAACCTTCTTTTTATTGTCTTTTTTGTCAGTATGGGCACAAAATGCCCATTGTGCAGAAGATTCTTTTCCTTACAGCCCTTATTTAATGCCAGCTGGTGACTACAGTATTTTGAGAGAATCAAGGAAGTTTCAGCCAGTAGGTCTGCATTTAGGCCTGTAGGTGCTGTACCTTTTTTCATGTGACTACATATCACTTTGTTCTACATATCACCGTGCACCTGCCACTTACCTACCAGTCATTATCTCGATTCCTCTGCTCATTCTGGCACTGGCTCAGAGGTACAACTACTACTATTCAGGTATTGGAGATTTTTGTCCACTGCAACACTGCTACATGTAGCATGTGGTAGAAGGGAGGGGGGAAAAAAAGCACTACCAATGAACACGAAACTCGGTCAAAATGAAGATTCTTTTCAAAGCATCTTTGTGAGCATATGGGAAAGCTGCATATTCCCGCAGGTTCAGCAAATTTTAGAGGACACTAGCAATACAAGGTTGCTACCAAGAACATTTTCTTATTTTACAGCACTTACCTAAAATTTGGCATGATTTTCCAAACAACGTAAAATAAAGACTCTGGACTAAATGCAGTTTGGCTTCCTTGCCATAAAGCACAGAGCGTCTTTCTGAATTCTTCCACCAATGAACTGGAAAGAAAGCAAAAGCTGGTGATTAGTACGCGTTTGTGTTGTGACCCTTAGAGGTTTACTAGCTTAATGGTATAAATATCAGACGTTACTTTGGTGAAGTTTGTCACGACTGGGTAAATATCCTTGCCAGTACTTCAAAGATTTTATGTCCAAAAGCCTATCCATAACGTTGTAGAGACACATAGGCTAGAAAAATTACATTTCAGATGTTGAAGACTCTCCTGGAAATCTGTCCAGCTTTTGCCTTTTTACTGTAGACTCTGCCAACGCTGTCCCTTTAACACTTGCTCAAACGAGCTACAGATTGTGAATTGCTTACTTGGAATTTCTTTTTTTAAAAAAGCTTTTTTTGGGGTAGTATGTTCACTTGCAGACACAACCCCATAACCATATTTTAGCTGGATTTAAAGTAAGGTAATGCTTGGAGTACATAACTAGCACTTAACCTTAGTTTCTATGCAGCTACACTCCAGCACTTTCTGATGTGTATGACTCTTTCTCCCTGCAGCACCCGCCTTATATAGGCAAACTACAAGTGATGACAGTTTTTTTTTTTTTTGTACAGCCAACTATTTTTCTATGACGCTATCCCCCCATGATTCATTTATCTATGATTCTGCAACACTGAAAGCATACAGGGGCTCTGCTACCCAAGCATCTGCTTGTTTTCTGTGAAGTTTGGTGCTAACAAGGAACACGCAGCTTACACATTGTTATCCCCCTGGCTCCTGGTATGGTAAGTTCGCCTGCCTGCCGTCTTCCCATTCCTCAGCTCCACAGCAGGCAACTCTTTGAAGTAACAGCAAAACTGTTGGATGTTACTATGGAAAAAGCAAAAATTTATGAAATTCTTAAAGGACAGAGAATTAAAAGAATATTATGTATTCTGGAGCCTGTTCTTTAAAATGCATAAACAACTTCATGCGGTGACAGAGGATGCCAATCACCATACAAGAAATGCTGCAGCAAATGCTCCTCTTCTGTAAATGACTGAGCAGATCTCTAAATATCATCATCATCCAGCTATCTGAAATAATTACATTTTGGCTCTGCTTTGTCTAAGAGATACAATGATAGACTGAGGTATTGGAGGGCGTTCCCCAACAAACCAGACGGCAGATGCCGAGGGGGTTAGCTCTGAGTCTACCACCACCTAACAATTCTAACCTCTGCTACCACAGTCCCAGCGAGGGAACGGAAGCAGCATGTGCCTCAACTCCTGCCAGTGAACCCTGAATGGTGGCAAAAGACATGGAGACTGATGAGTCCTGCTACAGCCTGACTCAGTAGTCTCCCAGTGAAGTAGGCAAATTCAGACATGCGAAAGGACAATTACAGAGCAGCAGTGGTTTGACAGCAATGAAATGAAGTCTAACGTCTCAGCACCGCAGAAACTGTTCTCCTACCCGCTTCTGTGAGACCCCAATCCCTCAAAGCATTGTCTCTGCTTTCCGAGCGACCGTAAGCAGCAGCACGTTTCAACAGCCTCAGCTATGAAAGGGCAGTCTCCTCCTCCGCTGAGGATACGGCAGGCTTCCTCCGGAGCGCGGCACCACAGGAAATCCCTCACACAGCGAAACACAACTTTATGGTACCTGCACACACGCATTCCTGCAAATCCAGGTACACCCTCGTACAGTGGTAACTTGCCAAATACACTTCTCTAACGCTACAGCACACCATCACTCTTACACAGGCGCGGGGAAAGCTGCGACGGTACCTGAGCGACTGAAGGATTGCATTCATGAAACATGTATTCCCCAGGTTCCGAAGGCCTGTGGCACAAAGGGCAGTGGTGCTTCCCTGGAAATGAGAACGGTTAAGTTAAAGACTTACCATTGCTCCCTTCCTCCCCACAGAGCTGGTACTATTATATCAGCACAGATTTAAACAATAATAATCTACACTGAAAAATGCAGTTTCAAAGCCAAAACAATCTCACCAGCTCAAGCTGCCTTGACATGAAACCTGTTTCTTACTCATTCCTGTCAACAGAAAACTATACTACATATTTTCCTGTGCACATAAATCTAGAATAGGACAACACAGATGTAATCATAGGCTTTTACTGCAAAGTATTTGTGTGTATGTACATTAAATATTTGCACTCCAACGATGTTCAGTGACAACTGGACAGCAGTTTCCCTAAAGTGTCTTTGAAAAATGAAAATACCAATCCTTATCCATCTAGTCCCATGTCTAATATGCTCAGTGTGGCATCCTGTAGGCTGTTTTTAAGTCACCAGCACTGCCCTGCTCTCTTGGTGGGGTTTTGTGGTGGCCAGAAGGGTTTTTGAAAGACAGACAACAGCATTTATTCAGGAAAGAAACAGTCAAGTTAGACTGTGCAAACAATAAGCAATGTGTTGATCAATGGGAAGCAAAATATACACCATTTGCAGCTGAGGAGTTCCAACAGGTTAGAGCCATGTTACCCACAAATGAGCTTGCTTTTTGCCAAATAATCTTCAGGGTGGGCTGGGAGGAGGAGGAGAGAAATGTAGACACTGTTGCATTTATGATTTCTAGAATCCTCAACTCTTGGACACGTTCCACTTTCCACAAAATACCACGTTGAAAGTTCATCACAGTTTGGGGCATTTTTTCACTGTTCTAGCAGAATTGAAAAGCTAGTAGTAGTATCTCAAATGAACAGCTTACTTGACACCAAAGACTGCATGCAATTCCAGGTTACCAGATACGTATTCAAAGTGTTCCAATAAAACTTTTTTTCCTCCACAAACACCATCTCTGGGTGAGCTAATGACAGCAGGATATTTGTGTGTATGTTGAGTTTTTTAAACACACACACAAAAAAATTTAAAAAGTAGCATTATTTACATTTGCAATTTACCAATTCAGTCACACATGTTTGCAGAGAGATGTGTTTTCCGATAAAGGAGGAAAACTTTTAAGTACAAACACCGCAGTAGCCTTAGTGTATTCTTTTCTCACGCTCTCGCCCAGGGTGAGAGAGCATGGCTTTAATGCAAACAGCAGTGTCCTGTCTCTTCTAGATAAGGATCCAACGGGCCAACAATAATCTGTTGCCATGGGCAATATTCAAGTATTAATAAAACTGAGAAAATAGCACAGACTAAAAAGAATAAAAGCAGCATTAAGTTCATGCTTTCTGATTCTGTCTTCTCTGTATTTAAGTGTTGCCTAGATTTTTCCTTCTGGTTTTTCCTGGCTTTGAGTTTTCCAGACAATGATGTGGTATGTTGCCATAGCAAAACAAAACCAAGTATTTCTTCCAGGCTTCCTCAATCACCCCAAGATTGGGACAGTACAGGAAGCATACACATCACATTCAGAGGGCCGTAACCTGGCTGTAGGTTGTGCATTTATAAAGTAACTAAACCCCAACAGATTTTGCAAAACAGCAACTGACTGCTCTGCTCGCGCCCCATCCTCTTATTTCCCTTCACACTGAAGAACTACTTCCCTTCATATTCAGGTAATTGTTCTCCACAGCTCAAGACAGCTCCTACCTCAGCTCCCTTTGACTACATTGCTGTCCTGCAGCCCCAAGGCAGAACAGCTCTGCTCCACCACACCTTCTGGCTGAGGGTGGCAATGTAGCCATTACATACAGCTGGGTCAGTATCCCCCCATCTCCCTCCATAAAATCTGGGAGAAATTACAAAGATTAGAAACTCCCTTGACCCAAACTGGAAAACAGAGACATTTGGTTTGTGGCATTCTTTGTCCGGAAGAAACTATGCAGCCCTTCAGCTATCTAGCAAGGGGTAAATCATCCTCTCCTGGGTGCTATTCTGAAGATGTGAAGTTAAAAGACCAGGAAGATGAGAGATGAGAGTGAGAAAAGCTCTCAGAGTAGTCCACAGTTCCCTCTGAAAGCAAGTTTTACTAAGCTCATTTAAAAGTTGGTTAAAATTTTAAACTTTTTCCTAGCAATTACACTCTTATCCCCCCATAAAAAGGCAGTGCACCTGTTTCTTTGCCTTCTACACTGTTAAAAAAACAACCAACCAAAAACACCACCAAAAAAACCCCAAACAAACAAAAAAACCCAAATCCTTTGTCTGCTCATGAAGAAAGAAGTCTTATGTCTACCCTGTTTTAATCCAATAGGTACTAACTAGCTCCTTCCAATTTCACTGATCCCACCAAGCTCAAACTGCCCTGATGCTCCATCTTGACATGAAACCCTTCTGAAGCACAGGGAAGCTCAGAGTCTGGGTCAACAGAAATGCAGCAGAATATCGAACACTCTTGTGAGAAGGGGCTCTTCCAGGCGTGTGGTCAGAAGATGAGAAAGAGAAAGTGCACCAAGCAGGATTTGGGTAACACTGTAAGCGTTTCAAGTCTAGGCCAACTCTAAGACTCATCACGTTTAGAAAACCCCCTTAAACTTACTGTACCGGATCTGTCGTACTTACATTTACTTTTAGTAACTTGCTGTTCAGAGATGAGTTTTCCAATAGTTTTCTTTTCCTGTGTCTGTCTGATGTAAAGGCTGAACTGTTGGAAAGTAATTAAAAGAGGTTGCTTACTATAAAAATAAAATATTACGTGAAATGGACAACAGATAATCATCCTACTGCTTAACATGGTGATTACATCTGCCATCAGTTCTCATTCAGACAGCAAAGAGCTTCCCGATGGCAACATACACTTTTCAGAGCCTTAAAACAGACTGCATCTCCCTCAGAGTACAGACGCACCTCCGGTTTTCAACACTCATGTCCAAGTTAATTGCATTAAGTTATGCATATAAATATGCATTATAGCTGACTTCTCTTACTTAAATACAAATACATGAGGTTTTAACATTTCTATAATACTAATGCAAAGTCACAAGAACAATTAGTTATTCTTTTCCACATCACTGGAAATTACTGGCCCCTCAACTCTACCAGTTCATGACTGTCCTGGGTTGAGTGAGTGGTGGGGTTTTTTTGGTGGCAGGGGAGGGGGCTATCGGGGCGGCCCCCTGTGAGAAGCTTCTCGAAGCTCCCCCAGCTCCGTGTCAGCTCCACTTCTGTTTGGGAAATTGAGCCAATCGGCTGCGCCTCTGCGATAACGTATTTAAGAAGGGACGTGGTGACGTGCAGGGGGACTTGTGAGGAGGAGTCGCTGCAGCTGCATGAACACCAAGGTCAGTGGAGGGAACGGAGGAAGAAAGGAGGGGGGAGATGTGACAGAGCAGAGACCCCCCTGTATCCTGTGGGGAGACGGCAGGGCGGCCCCCCCCTGCCACCCATGGAGATCTACGGTGGAGCAGACACTGATTTATGGCCTGTGATTTCCGTCTGGTTGATCAAGGTGCTGTGCCAGAAGAAGGCCGGGGTCTCGTGGGAAAAGGCAGCCCCGCTGCTGTAATTCAGTGCTGGGAGGATTGCAGCATGCGGGGGAGTCCCACGCCAGAGCAGCTCGGGAAGGGCTGCAGCCGTGGGAGGGAATCCAGTTGGAGAAAGCTGGTGACCCATGACGGAGCAGTGTGGGGAACGCTGCGGCCCGTTGGAGGAACTGACGTAGGAGAAAGTTTGTGGAGGACTGTCTCCTGTGAGAGGGGGACCACGTTGGAGCAGGGGGAACAAGTTCCAGAAGCTCACCTCCACTAAAGATGGATTAAGCGGCAGCACTGACTGCAGCCCCTCCCCCCTGATTCCCTGCCCCTGCACCGCTGGGGGAGGAGGTAGAGATATCGGGAGCAGAGCTGAGCCCGGGAAGAAGGCGGGGGTGGGGCAAAGGTGTTCTCAAGATGTGGCAATGCTTCTCACTGTCCTACTCTGTTACGTGTTGTTTGTGTCTGTAATAAATGTATGTTCTTTTTTTTCTTCCCCTAACAAGTCTGCCTTTTCCTCATGACCATAAAGGGGAATTTTTCCCCATCCCAGTCCTATCTCGGACCCCAAGCCTGGCTCTCTGTCCCTTCTCATTGCCGGAAGAGAAGGGAGAGAGAGTGGCTGTGTGGTGGTTGGCTGCCGACCAGGCTCAAACCACGACAATGACTTCTCCCTAATCCAATACCAACATCAGAACCTGTTCCAGATTTTAGGGGATTTTTTTTTTTTTTTTTTTTTTTTAAATTAAAAAGCCCTCCAAACATTCAAAAACTGTCATTACACAACACAGAAGACTCCATGGTATCATTTACCTCCCTGATAGTTCGATCCTGGACATTTCTGGAATACTAATGTGCACTTGTAATTATGCTTAAACATCTTTACATCTCACTACATACCTGAGAAGGTCATAAAAAAGAATGGAAAACAATTAAAATGTTAATACTACCTACGGAGTAAACGACACTCTTAACTCAGGGAGGATCCAGAGACTTCCCGAAAATCGCAGCAATTTCTTTGCAGGAGTCCTGTTTGAACTCTGGGGCATTCCAATGTATTTGTATGTACACGTACTTCTACTTAGCATTATGTAAAATTTCCAAGCAAACTGTGAAAAGACTATTTGCTATCTAGCACTGGCCATAGCATCTGCATCACAAAGACTGTAATATCTACTTTTCAGTGGAGCAGCATCAGATAAAAGCAGAAGAAAAACATGTCTCATCTGTACAATTCCAAGTTCATATGCCTTCTTTCTCTTTTTTTGTTCGGAAACCAAACTATGCAATTAATATGAAGACTACTTCCATCTGCATTTGCTTGAATTTCTTTACTTCAGAATCTTACTTTGGTTTTGACAAAACTATTATTCTGTTCTGGAAATTCTCTCCCATTTATATGGAAAAGAGTGTAATTATTGGCTAGATAGGAAGAGAGTTTATCAATATCTGAATTCCTTTATCACCATACACTGCTTCTAAGAGATTCACTGTATAAGAAACAAAACACACAAGATCAGTCAAATCCATTTGTTCTGCACCTCTGCTTCTCAGTGATGAGAAGGATATTTAAACCCAGTACCCCACACATAAAAGGATCAAAATATATATAATACATATATACTTACAAACCAGAAATACCACTTAAATGATGCAAATATTATAAGTCTAGATGTAAATACTTACTTTTCCAAGTTCTGTAGGTGCTCTCTGACCTTCTGTACCAGGCCCAGCTTGGTATCATTGACTACAAAATCATCACAGCGATAACTGCAAGAAAACCACTTATCAGAACGTGCAAAAGATTTCAGCTGAATACTCAACACAGCCACGCACACCTACATGTGTGAAGCACTGAACTGATTCCATGAAAGATTACAAGAGGGACAGGGGAGCACAACACCTACACACTGAGAGCTTGGTGCCCTCTGAAAACTACCCTATAGATAGAGAAGGTACGAGCACTATCTTATGACATGATTTTTCGTCAAGCTCAGTTCCTTATTAGAAATCAGAAGCATGACGTACTGCTTATCTCAGTGCAGAATTCCAGTTCATGAAAAATTCAAACATACGGTGTAACAAAAAGCAGCATTAGTAGACAATGCGTAGACAATCCATAGACTTACCAGAAAATATCAACTGACATCAGGTAAACAGGATACAATGTTTTGATTAATGTATAGCATAAATTATTTTCTTTTAATACTTTGGAGCCATCATTAAAACATGAGGTGCTAAACAGATGCACACATAATGTAGAAGTTTCTGCTGTGGCAAAAACACCAGGGAAGATGAACTAGGAGATTGCGTGATTTCTCCGAAGTCACACCAGAAGTCTGTGGCAACTTGCACCTCGTGCTTTAACCACAAATATCACTCAATCTCTCATACAGTTTTTTGTATATAGAGAAATTCTTTTAAAACTTAAGCTAGTATTTTGAGCTTTTTCAGGGTAAGCGTGCAGAAGTAACTGAGCTGAAAAGGAGAGAGAAGCTGATCCCCCCCTACCGCCTCAAAGCAAGTATAAAGTGAAACCAAATCAAAATGTCCTCTCAGCAGAAGCAAGGGTTACAAAAATCTACAATCCTATAATGGTCTAAAAGATCTCACATTTCCCAAGAAGCAAAGTTGTTCATTATAATTTGATCTTCTAACTCTAGGCTCCTAATACCTCATATAGTGCACAAAGGCAAAGGTTGCAGACCATTTCTAAAAGGGGGTAGAGGGGTCTTTTTGGGAACGCTGAAAAAACCCCACACCTTATTTCACTATTTTCCCAAGCACATGTAAATCCACATTGTACATGCTGATTTGAAGAAATGAGACAGCAAACTGTTACAAGAATACTGTTGCAAGATGGCATTAACTTCTGCTGCTTTCCTGTATTTAAAATCCCTTGCATTTCTTGCCCTCGCAAGAAGAGGGAATAGAGGTCCCAGAGTGTGTGGACCCTCTTATCTAAGCTCGCTCTTCCATTTTCGAAGGAGACACTGCCTGTATACCCGGGGGGGGGGGGGGGGGGGGGGGGGGGGCGGGGAAGGGTGTAGCAGAAACAGCAAGACTGCAGTCAGAAAGGAAGCCCAGCCCTTCAGAATCCACCCCTGCACATCGGTAAACCAAGAATTCTGTGCAGCCTCCCCTCAACTGTGTCTCAAAGGAGGCAGTCAGCAGAGCGACAGCCTTACTGCTGCGCGCAGGAGCTGCAGATGACATTTCACAGTACTCTTACAGCAGCTCTAGCCACCAGCTAAATAACCTGAATACTGGCAAGAGAAACAGGAAGGTAAGAAAAAGACAACGTCACTTGCAGCAGCTCTTTTGAGAGCACTGCAACAAAAAGGGAGCAGAGAATTGTCACAACTTCCCTTCCCCCACATCCCTCAAAGGTAGCTCAGCTCTGAGCTAGTGTTTGTCAGCCCTGTGTCAGATTGCAGCTTCAAATTCAGGCAGGCAACTGAATGCTTCCTGTGAAGAAAACTAACTTACTTTGGGTATGTTTAATACCAGAACCGTAGCTATTCCTCTTCCTTCCCTTTGGCACAGGACTGACTCACATGTGAAAAAAATCCTTATCATCTCGGGTTACTCTTCTACTGGGGCAGATTCGTGCTTCCTAAGTTAATGAAGTTATCAACTTCAGGCACAACTGGAATTTACAATATTCTCTGTTGCATATATCTGCCATGTAGTTCAAAGGCAACAGTATTGCTAGTGTAACTTCAAACACTGCATTTTTGATGAGACTACAGAGTTGAGAAAGTAAAGGCCCTTGCCACTGAAAGAAGTCTGTAAGACCAGTCTGCCCAGGATCTCTGTTGATTTTTGCCTCTCAGAAGAGAAATTAATATGACTCCCAAGGTTTCCGAACACTGAACACAGGAGTTATGGACATTTATGTAAGATCTAGAAATTATTAAGATAGCTATTGCCAGTAATAAAATTACTTTTTTTTCTAAAAAAGAATGCTACAGACCTAGTTAGTTTGGGAGGGGGGAAAAAGTCTGTAAACATGCTTATTTTTCAGCCAAGTTTTAAGTAGTCCTATTCATCTTTATCAGCCACCTACGATTACCTACCGAAGTGTTCCTGCATTTGCCACTCTCAAAGGACACCACACCTCAAGGACAGCCATTAGAGCAAACTACCCAGGCCAGCTTTGCTGAGAGGCAAATATGGTGCAGGTCCATACAGTACCGTTCAACCCCTCCTTAATACCAAGAGTGTCCACACCCCCAGGTATACTGGCACAATTACATTGCTACTCCAGTTGTGTACCTACTAACGTTTATAAATGGGGAATGAAAGCAGATGCAAGCTCACTGAAAGCCTCCATGCCAACTTACTGCTGAAAGATGATTTAACGCTTGCTCCCATGTCCTAAAGATCGTGTTAACCATATTTTTGGTCTGATCTCACACACCAGTTACAGCTTTACATAAAATTGCAAGTTAGCACTTTCCCTAAGATGGAGTAATAAAATCAAATATGTCGTTCAATGTCAGGGTCCTTGCAACAGTGAAAATGTAATTTTAAAATTCACTTAAAAACAAGACAAGCTTCTTCTACTTCTCTTTTTAATGGGTAGTTTTTTAAACCATCTCCCTTGCAACACTGAGGATTCAGCACTACTACAGGAAATAACAGCACTGCTACCAATCTATTTTGGATAAATGAAGTAAATGGCATAGGAAGTAGTTTATGCTTTAATATCTTAGACTTTTCTAAACCCACACACCTTAGAGGTAAACTGCTGAGAGATTACTTCCTATCTGTGAAGCTGACATTCAAAACAGATGTTTAATTTGTGATCCTCAGGATTATGACAAATTAACAATACACCTTTTTGCATACAGCAGTTCTACAATATACTTTTAACAGCAATTGTACAGAACAAATTCTACACTTCGGGGAGAGTCCCTTATATGGATTAGCACAGTATTTTCCTCTCTATACACTTTCTATTTTTAGCACCTCTGCCACCTCCAAGGCCTGGTCTTTTCTGGCTACCTTTGCTGCTCAGATGGCAGCAAGCCAGCAAAGGTATGCACTGCTCCGGGGAACACTTATGCTTACTGCTGGTAGTTTCAGTATGTTACAGAATATGCTTTGTTTAAAAGCCCTGATTGAACTTGAAGATTTACAGGACAAGAAAAATTACGAAAATCCAAATTACCTTAGTTGCGCTAACACCTTATATGAGTAAACTAAGAACTCAAGTTTTACTGTCTTGATAAAAGGCTTTTTACCTTCTTTAATTTCCATGGCCTGTGGAATGCAAAATAATGGTCCTCGGCAATCTCATTTTTGGATGCTCATGTTCTAGCACAGTAAGACTTGTTTTTTAAATAGAACCACCATCATAAAAAGAAATACTAAAAAATATTTTTTTAAAAGTCTTTGGCACTTAAGTTATTTTTATAACAGGCCGTGGGGGGGGATGTGACATGACTCTACCACAACTATATCCCTTTAAGAGATAACAAGGAAGTTAATGGGTCAGAAATCTGACCCACAAATTGTGTCTGGGATTAAATGAACACGGGAAACATACTATGCAAATACATAAACAGAACAGCCTTTCTTCTTCTGTGCTAACCAACTGTGTACACTAGCACACAGAAAACAAATCTACAAGAGTCCTCTTTCAGGAAACTTACTTCTGAAAGCAGGCTTCTTACACATATCATTTTACTTCTGCACAGAGAAACAACCACCAACACAGCAGGAGAAAGCATCATACAATAGCTTGAGGGCAAAAAAGATCTGTACTTCTTGTAAACTCTTTGTGCTTAATACTTTAGAACTAACTGAAAAGGCTGATTACCTACAAAACAGTGGAATCCAGGACTCTCAGTGCTTAGGGTCTTCAACATAATTCAGTCTGAAGATTTAGCATTGCATCTACTGTCTCAAAAGTGACCAAAGAACCAGGAAGAGAGCTGTACTCTCATAATAAATAAAAGATTAACATTCTCTCAACTTTTCCACTGCAAAGACTGAACAGGCAAACAGGAGGACAAAGAAAGATCAAAACCCTCTGGAAAGCAAATCCCTACATCGCCCAATACTTAATGGCACCTCAAGCATATCTGTATTTTTCAAAACATTGCCAAATTCACAAATACAATAAAAACCTCATCTCAGATTAATAAAATAAAAATTTAACCACCATCCCACCAGAACTGAAACATTTTCCTCTCAAAACTATGTTGAAAGCCTATGATTACATTAAGGAAAACATACCCACCTAGACTTCCACACTGAAATGCAATTACACGAGACTGCTTGATCTGGTTTTAAGTTTACAGCAAGATTGCATGTGAACTAGAAACAAAATTCAATAAACCAAGGTAACTTTAACGGTCACATAGTATTTCCTCCCCTTGGACTAACAAGAATAACTAAGGCAAGCCCTGGACTGTCCTCTCATGACTGCATGAAAGTTTATGACATGGCCAAAGAAAAGCAAAGGATTAAATGCCTTCTGCTTAGAAAAGATCCCATACAGGTCTGTTCACTGGTACTATCATGCAAGCTAAGGAACACAGTAAACTGGAATCCACAGGACAAAAATGGAACAAAAGTATTCCATACTCAACTCTGCAGTAAACAAATTTGCAAATAAGAAAGCCAGCACTGCATCTACATATCTCATTTATTTTTCCAGTAGAAGTAAAATTCAATTAAGTCTTAGGATGGTATTTTCTTGACTTTCAAATTAGTGAAGTCACACACTTGGCTAGCATAAAATATTGATCTTTAAAAGTTCACTTAAAAGAAACATCATTGCATAAACATAGCACTGCCTATTGGACTCATGGTCTACATTGAAGAAGCCAACAAGTAACATTTCAAAATTCAGCCTCCACACTAGCTAGTTATGACTTGAATTCATCCAACTATTTGCTTGAACTGGCCAGCACTATTTGATAGAAGCCCATACAGTACTGTCTGAACTAAGGGGGCAGAAGTTGGTCTGAATGCTTTCTGCTTCACCTTTACGCATCTAAGCTCATTTCCACTGAAAGAAAACGGGTGCTATTACAAATCCAGCTATCTTTTTCTGAATATCAGATGGGAAAAAACTGTAATATCCTAAATGAAAGCAATTATACACTGCTTTTGACTCTTGTTCAGCTTCATATTAGTGCAAGAGAGTTATAATCTGCTGGTGAATCCTACGCAACAGGAACTCCCCAAGGCAAAGCTCTCTACAATTACTTCCAGTTCATCCATAGAGAACTCAGCCTTCTACTTTGGTTACAGCAGAAAAGACATCGCATGTCAAACTGCTACTCATCTGTCCTACCACAAATATGCTGTGAAAAGCCAGTGAGCTTGCTAAATGCGTGCCTACCTGCTCCTTACAAGCACTGTTTGTTTCGGTAATGGATCCCATAGGCCGCAGTTTGGCTGTTGTCATTCTACAATCCCCATACTGGGTTTGGGATAAGGTCAGCAGAGTGCTCTGACTTGCCAGTGTAACTCAGCAAGCCTCATCAAGCCAGGCATACTAGTTGTCATAGTAAGTGGAGATATAACCACGACTTCAAATACCCTGCTGAAATTCCTCCACACTTTACTACCTTCAGAGTGACTAGAAGACAGGTCATACTTCAAATGAAACAAAAAGCTACAATGTAGAACTTGGTTGTTAACAGCATTAATCAGGAAAGTGACATTAGCTTCCCACAGCTGTTCCAATGCTAGTAACTTGTGCCTATGTATCACTTAGAAAAATGTTATGTTTTCTAATGTTTTCACATAGGAGCAAATAAAAACAATGGTCCTTTAAATAGAATGTAAGTAGAAGCAAAATCCCCACACATCATAAAGCTACTCAAACCTTTCTTCTATGCTTAGCATCTGTACAGCTGCACGCACCATCTTGAATAATTTGTCAGTTGCTCCAAACAAAATTTCTTCAGGTGAGACCACTTAACTGTGATTTTACTTGCAGGGGATAAAAATATTTGTTACAGAAGTATTCCTCATAAAACTGGATACCCAAACTTCAGCTAGCAGATTTTTCCCTGATGAAGTACACAAGATACCCAATTATTTGAACAATACACCCATCAGTAGAGCTATGTACTCAGTAATTTTACAAGACCACAGATTTCCCTGAGATTTGCACTGTTCAAATCCTGCACTGCCACACCACACAATTAACAACATACATGGGAAACCAGGAAGTTAACAGGAAGTGGGGAAGCAGTTGTCAACAGTTTTGCTTATGGGTGAAGAGGAGGAAAGATGCTGAACGCACAAAAGCATTGCTTTCAGTAGACTTCCAGTCTTTGCTCTCTGAGGAACAAAGAAGATTGGGAACCCAACATTACCAAGATAACTTTTAAATGTCCCTGAACAATGCTTATAGCTCATTCTAATAAACTGATAGAATAAATCAGCCCAGGCCATTCTTCTGATAAAAGAATCACTTCCGTGATTCTGCTACTTCATCTTGCCAGAGAGTTGATGCTGCCTCCCAACAGGGTCCATTGCTTTCCTAAACTCAGACAGGTGGTACCAAATCTCCAGAAGAAAGAAGCCTTTCTTTCAGAGTGAAGAAACAAATTAGTATCGGAAAACAAACAAACAAACAAAACAACACACACACACACATACACACCGCAAGTTCACATCTCTTGAGCAGGAACTATTGAGTATTACTTTGCTTCCCAATCTTCTGACACATAAAGGATATGTGAAAGGCTCACCGATTCGATGGAAGGAATAGCTACAACCAAACAGCTTTTGCAATTGCAAGGTTAGATTCTCAACACACCCCAAAGCAAACAGAAGCATCTCCAAACCACATAAATAGCATTTATTTCAAAACGTTTCTGCTAAATCACTTGAAATGCAGGAGTTTAGCTGCAATCAGTGCTACAATGCACATGCAGAAGCAGAGAGTTACTTCCTAACTGTCTTTAAACAGCCAGGTCTGAAAAATCAAGAGATGAAGTACTCAAAAATGTGTGAAAAATACCTCACAATAGTCTGAAGTTTTCACCTTCCGGTATGCAAAAACTTGACAAATTACAGCATTTAAACCCTTACCAGTATGTACTGTAACTACTGCAATCCATACACACAGTATGCTGAACTTTCTCTTGTTTTTCTGTTTTCTTATGATTGGTCATAGGAATCTGTGCATCTTCATAATGCTTTTTTGCATGGCCATTCACGTATCTAAAATAAATGAAAAACAAGAAGTCTTATACTTGTAAACAGTTACTTAACCAACATTAATTGAAAATAAGAAAAAAGACAGCCTAATAAGCATCCGGTATTTAAACAGGCATTGAACTAGGCAATTCACCTGTGTGAAAACATTGGTTAAATCTTCTAACTTTTTACCCCTTTATTCTCCCACACTGTCCTAATTTAATCTCTCCATCTCCTTCACAGCAACCACAAACAGACATCCTTGTACCAAACCCCAGGCTCTGGGCCCTTAACAGACTGATGCACCTTTGCAACTGGGAAAATCATTAGCTCCTTTTCTCCATACCTGTAATGTTGTTAGCCCTCCATATTGCTTTCCCACATACTTTTCTTAGAGCTCTACTTTTTTCTCCACCCAGCACTCATTGTGTTTGCGATGATTTTAACAGTGTGCTGACCCCCATATGACAGCACATCCATTTTAAGCTTTCCCATTCTGCAGCATAATTCAGTATTAGAGCATTCTATGTTTTATAAAGTTCGTGAATTCGAAAGGCTCTAGTGCTTAGGGGTCACATAATTGAAGAAGAAATCTGAAATTCTACAGCTCTTTTTCTGACACAATGAGCATTTTCACACTCAAAATTAGAGATCCAGAAAATTACACATATTTTAAAAAAGCGTCATTACAAATGCAAGAGCCCTAACTATTAGCTGAAAATCATTAACACCTAGAAGTGTATGGCAAGACCTCAGATGAATTCCCTCCTCCCCCATTTCTTACTTGTTGAACTCAGTAATGTTAACTGATAGGAACTCTGCACATGCTCCACACGAAGGTCTTTGTATTCTACACTTGTTCTCACATGCAGGTGTAAACAATACTGCCAACGCAGCTGCGCTAGTTAAGGCAATGAAGCCACGGGGTTACCAACACTGCTGTGCCAGCAGAATCCTGCAGCAATTATGTCATAACCCAAATGAGACAGTTGTGCTTGCAGGAGTTCGTTTTCTGCCTAACAGTGCAAATGACAGGGTTATAAAGCTACACTCCCACCAGAAATGCTCTGCTGCTCTAACACGGTCAGTAATGTTCCCAATGACTCTAACCTGGAGTATGTACATCAAGAGAAGATCTGAAAAGCTCTATTTCTCTTCCTTTGATTTCAAACTTTATTTCAACAGAACAATATGCTGTGTGCCTTCACAATCAAAAGTACTCCTGTTACACAGTATATTACATTCTTCTCATTCTATTATTTTCCATTCTAAGGATGGGAGCAGTTTGGAAAGTCAAAGCAAACTGCAGAAATAACTGACTCAATGTCTACTAACCGCTCAGAAGACAGGTCATATGTGGGCAGTATTAATTAAAAATCAGTAACAAGTAAAATATTCCAAACTATTTATTTCTTACCACCACATAACATGAAGTAGCTCCCCCTTTCTTAGCTCTCATCAAGTATAAATTTATAAAATAAATTAATAAATAAAAAGAGAAATAAAGGGATTCACGCTGAAAACTCTGAGTAAGAGGCATCATTAAAATTATGGCACTTACTGCTATCCAGATCAAAGAAACAAAACCTGGAGTTTATTGACTCCACTTTAAAAGACAAAGTCACTAAGTTTAATGATGCTTTTCCAGAATAATAGCACACAAGCACAGATGCTACCCTACAGATGAAAACACATTCAAATCTCAGATACTGTCTAAATGTCAACACTAATGCATTCTCATTAATATGCACATCTCAAGCATTTCTGTAGCAGCAAGTTTTCTACAATTATCCTGACATACAAATAACAGCACTGACTTTATCATTCCTCTACAAATTCTTTTGGTGTACTTCAACTAATAGAGACAAAAAAACCAGGTGTACTCTGAAGGGATTCTGATGGTAGCTAGTCCTTATGTGTTACAGCAATAACACCTTTTACAGAATGGAACTTTACTATAATCCACTGAATTAGCAATTCTCCAGGCACTTTTGAGCTGAGTAATCACATTCACTGTACACTTTCTGATAAAAAAACGATGGTAAGTATAATCTCTGGACTCTCGTAAGGTAGCAAAGAAGTGTGTTTAGTATACACATACAATGAAATCATGAAAGGTTTATTCCAGGGAAATTTCTAATGAACTGCCTCAGAGGAAGGAAAAAGATACAGGTCTGATTAAAAGATCCGCACACTAACACTTTGTACCCACCTTCCACAATGGACACTTGAGCACGTCAGACAGACCCACGGACTTTTATTTGACCGGCACACTATAAAAGATTTGAATAAAAAAAAAAAAAGCGTCACATGAATTCATGAATTGGCTCTGATATTACAGTTGTATAACACATCCTGAGCGCTAGCAATAGCTCTGCTGACTCTACCTTAGCAGCACAGTTATATAAAATAGCCAGTCACATTCGTTAACCTGTATCAGGAACTAAACTAATAGACTGAAAAGCTATTGAACACTAAAAGCGCATTATCCTTCTTCTGGTTTGGGTTTTAGTTGCAAGCTACACATTTACCTGTTACTTCCCATGAAAAAATTCAATTCTTTTGTTTGTATTACATCCACATAAGGTCTACTTGATTTTGAAATACAATACAGAAATATCAGAAGCACAAGTAGTAAAAACACTGGTAAAAGTTTAAAAACCTTTCTTTTGGCTTTTAATAAGGCAGTCCACCACACACGGAAAAAAGCCACTTCACTTCTACTTCATAAAACTCGTTACACAGTAAGCCATTTTAAACAAGATATTGCAAGAAAGCCTAGCAATCTTATAAGAAGCACACAGGATAAATAACCATGCAATGCATGATAATACACACCATTTATAAAATACATATTCCTATGCTGCCGTGCTGGCAAAGGCTTTATGCATGAAGATTTTACCCTTTCAGTCATGTACAAGAAGCTGAAAGATTAAAATGTAACACAGTGCTGTCCTTCGCAATCCATTCAAGACATCAGAAGATGTTACCTAAGTTTTTAGCTGTCATCTAAGACTAGAAAACTTAATCTAAAAAAACCATAGATGTTTTTAAGCTAAATGGCTTAAAGGGAAAAAAACAACAGATACTAGAAAATGATGAAACACCATCCCAGGGTAGGATCACAGAAACAGGATATTCCAACTCCTACCCCAACCCAGTAGCAAGGTCTGCAAATTCAGATTAGAAACAAAAATCTGAGTAAATGACCCATGTAGGCAGAACACACTAAAACAGGCAAGCATAGCAAAGTTTCCATTACTCAAGTCAAGAATAAGTATGTGCGGTTTTATTAACAACAGCAATTTTGGAACTACCACTAAATCAATATTGAACCCTTGAATTTTGAGAGGAATTCCAATTTGGATCATGTCACTGAAGGAAAGATATACAACGCTTAGATTTGAATGAAGTAAAATTGTTAACAGCTATCCATTACCACAGAATTTACAGAAATAGCATTACACTTTCAAATACCCAACTAATATGATGAGAAAAGAAAAATTAGATGCTAAAGTGCACTTCTGCAAGAGCAGAAAACAACATAAAAAGGTGACTTCAATGATCCCAAAAATACAAAAGGTTATGATACCACCTACTTTTTCCACACTCTATAAATAACTGCTTCTTGAAGCAGTCAGTCAAAAGAGTGACAGAGTGAAAACAAGACATCAGAAACATGACTGTTTGTAAGGCCAGGGGGAAGAAGGGACAAAGAGAAGAGGATTAAACCCTAGCATACATGTAATTTATTTATATTGTTATTTACTGGGGAAAAGCCTTAGAACAACCTTCTCTGTCTGGAGTCACAACTTAGGAAAAGGAACTGGGGAAAGTGAAGCATGCACAGAACCTGCTCCAGGGCAGGATCACCTGAGCAGGCTAGTTTAGGACATCCAGCAAAACTCAAAAAGAGCTACCAAGCTACAAACCATGGTACACATCAAACTGTAAAGATCAAAGACTATCAGAGAATATCAAGCTAACAAAACTGAAAAGAACTTCTTTATCATATTAAATGCTAATTAAAAAGCAAGGAGGGGATCAATTTTTAGGCAGGAGAGAAGTGCTGTTTAGAAGAGCTAATATACTCCTTCACCATGAGATTTTGGCCTTTGTATTTAAATCAGACAGAAAAATAAACTAGTTAACACTGCTTCTTTAAGAATTGTTTCCTGAATCTGAATTCATTTCTACAAGTAGCTATATTTCAATTCACAGGCCTAATCCGAGAAATGTTTAAGATTTTTACTATGTTCACTGGGAAAAAAAGCACATCCCACAGAAATCTTATTTAAAGTAACTACTTTAAACTCTTCAGTAGAGACTCCAGAATTGGGGTTTTTTCAACAGCTACAATTACTACTTTGAGAAACACGTTTTCTCACGTCTCAGTTCTCTGGGTTTGGTTTTACAAAACCAAATTTTCCTCTTTCTAAAGTTGATGAATCCCCACAACTGTGATGGTAATCTTGCAATAGGTAGAGGACAGCCAAGTACAGCTTACGTGTCAAGTTAGAAAAGTGGAAGAAGTTTGTCTAATTTGACCAAATGCTGTAGCACTGGCAAACAGAAGAGAAAGGGAAGACCTTAAATACCCATCATCAGTTAAAAATGGACTAAATGAACCACCAGTCTAACCTGATACAATTTTATTTTCCTGAATTACACATATATTGACAGTTTAAAAAAATTACCCAGAAGGAAACAGAAGCCAAAACCATTAATGCACATAAAACACAGATTATGGGCTTCACAAACAAACTACTACCCTACACCTCCCTTGCCGGGAACACAAAACAATCTTCCTAGCATTAAAATCCCAGCAGAAATCTCCCACTGTGAAATAACATATTTGCTTTCACTATGTTATCATCTATGGACAGAACTGGTTCTCAAGCAGCAGAGGTCAAAACATGACGATGCAAACTGTTATTCGCACTTTCTACCACGTGCCAAACAACTACAATTTCACATCCAGGTATTCTAAATACCTGCACTGCTTGCTTGTCAAGTGTAAAATTATACTGAAGTAGCGCTCATTCTGCAGACTTCACCCCAGGTTCTGCACAAAGCCAACAACCAAGTCCACCAACTCTACACAATGCCAAAAAAAACACATGTCCACTAAAATTTTCCATCTTTCATATCAGGGAAGAGGAAAAGATGGCTCATTTGTTTGCTTTAACTTTGAGGAAGAACTTTGCTCCAATTGCATCACATTAGAAATGTGTAGTTTATCTTCTGCACAAACATCTCCTCCCACAAAGAACTCGAATGACACGGAAGTGACTCCCACTAAGATTAAACGCAGAAGGCAGTACTAACTTTGTGACATACAGTTGCTCTGTTCTGAGAGGATTACGCAATTGGATTTTTTTAAAGGTTGCTGAAGATTGCATTCTGTATTTCTCCAAGGTTGGCTCTGTAGCTACCTGCATTAAAGCTCAGCTCTCAGTTCAGATCTTGAAGCAGTTTCCATCCGTTACTATTAATAAATTAAATTAGACTGGGAGCTTCAGGCAGTAGTTAGGACTCTAACAAGACAGGCACCATGGAATGCAAGCAAAAGTGCAGTCACTGCCGTGAACTGCTTCTACTGTAAAACTACAGGTAGACAGTTTGGCTTCATCTGCAAACAAAGTGCATGTTATTCCTTTCAGATGTGGTACTAGGCTTAAAAGTAGACCAGAAACAAGAGAGAGAGATCCATAGCAATTCACTTCTCAATTCAAAGCACATTACACAGCCCTGGAACTTGGCCCCTGAAACAGATCTGGGTGTTTCAAGTCAGGCAGTTACACTGAATTGTGAGGTAAGACTCTCAGACCCGTTTGCAGAGGTACGTATGCCTTCCCTCAATAATCAAGATTGCAACTGGGATTTGAATTTTTTTTTTAGTGCTATTTAAAAAAAAGAGGAGCAGGGGTACACTACATTAGCACACCCTAATTTGGAATAAAGTTATGTTCAACAACCAACCACATTAAAAAACCCTTAATTACCTGTGTTATACCTTATTTACTAGCATACAGGCTAAGGAACACTGGCTGCTTTCTCAGCTTGAACTGAAGTGCCTGCTGCAACAGTTACCAACTGTATGGTTTTGCTCTATTTTTAGCATAGCTTCAAGTGGTTAGGAAAGCAAATCTGCAATGCTACCATGTTGTCTGAAGCTGTAAGTAATTTGCTATTTTACATCAATATCAGCTTATTCAGAAGCTTAGAAACACAATTTTTCATCATGTAATAGTAAGGGGAAATACTGTCTTTCACAGAATGATTCCTCTAAGTGAAATCTGAATATTCACTTATAGAGCCTACACAGCCCTTTGTAAATGAGGTATCAATCCATCCCCAAGAGAGCAAACAATCAAACACCACTACATGCAGACTCAGACATAACTATGGGAACATTCAGAGACGTCCCTCCAGCTTCCACTTCCTGTAGATCACCCCGATAATGTTCATCAAGTTATGCCAAGTAGAATAACTATGATACGGCTAAGGAGTTTGGCACTCTCACCACAGGGCCCCCACTCCATCTTACCCTCACGATCACTCAGATATGTACTTCTGAAACTTGACTATTTTTTTCTTATTGAAAATTGACTCCAAGTGCAGTCTTGAATGCTCCTGGCAAACACTCCATGCCAGAGGCATGAATGCTCCTGGCAAACACTGTATTCCTTACAGAACAAAGCTGCAGATTTCCACTGTAGGAAAGTTACAACTATGTAAAAGTATACAAACAACCTGTGAAACTCATAGTTTTGTTTAAAGAGCACACTACATAATTTAGAAACTGGCAAAAGAAAAAAGAAGCAGGAAGAGGAGGGGACAAACAGGAAGCAGTTTCTGTAAGGCAGCCAAGTTAAAAAACCTGCAAGATACAGTGTCCACGAGAGCTGTGGCAGTAGCACAGCCACGTGATCCATGCAAACTGGTGACTTCGCCAGTCACAGGAGCACAAGTGACCCAAGGCCACAGCTACTACAGAACTGTGCTTACATCCAAGTTTTAAAATAGTCCTTTATTACAGCACTAAAGAAAAGGCCACAAAATATCAGCACAGTAAGGGCAATACTTTGGTCCTTCTGTTAAAAGCACGTTGAATGGAAACAGGATTAGGGTCATTAAACTATTTCCAATAGTCTCCACAGCCTTTACAAAATGGCCTGGACTTTGTTCTCAAAAGGAGTTGTACCAACACTACTATCTTCTTTGTGTAATTATATGGTTAAACTACAATAACATAATGACCTGCACAGAAATATCTTTGGACTAAGTGCCTTTTTTCAGTTCATCTTGACTTAGTAGGTCAGCCGTACTGATACAGGCCAAACTGCAAGAGGCCACTATTGCTCCACTCTGCATCTGCACAAGGATTATTTACACCGTTGTGGCTGCACTGGCATGCTGATACTGTGCTGAGCAAATTGTTTCACAAACATAAGCACTTGGTGACAAACATATACATATGCTACACATGTATAGCATGCTCTGTGTAGCATGTATACACATGCTGTATGTATGCTCATGTGTATACACACACATGCATTAAAAAAAAACACAACACTGGTAAAGTATTACAGAGAAATAAACTTACTTCTCCTTTACCATAGCTTTAACTTTGTTTTGTCTAACAATCCCTCAGTGCCCTGTTAATTAAGTTTTGGTAGCAGGACCATGTTACTCTACAATTTGCTCCTAAAAGAACCCGACAAATACAGCAAAAAAAGAGCTGGGCAGTCTCCGTTAACAGCATGTAAAGATGGAACAATCTGCATACCAAAACGTGAAACTCCTGCTTTGTGAAACACAGTCCTTGTCTGTGACACATCAGGCCTAAGGAATCAGACTGAAAGCTGCCTCCTGCAAAGATCTCAAAGGTGAGAGCAACTTGCAAGCAAAAATCCTGGGAAATGATCACAAGTGGTGGGAATACAGAGCTCTGCACAAACGTTTAACCAAAATTATGCTAACTCCTTTAGTAATAACCTCTCAAATGCAAAGTTTTCCAGTCGCAGGATTCAGAGCATTTCTCAAGAGAGCCCACTTCCATTTCACAGGCTGAAAAATGGAGAATGAGAGATTGAATAACTTACCAAAAGAATTTTATCAGCATAGATCAGAACTGAGACTTCTAGCCTTAACACCTTAGACCTTTATGTCATTTTACTTGCAGGCGAGGGTAATGCATCCCAAAACTCAGCATTCTACATAAAACTTTTAAGGTGATTTGCCGAAACAGCTCTGAATTAAACACCTAAAACTTCCCATATTCAAGAGGTATCAGGCATCGAAGAGTCATCTCTGAAAGCTGGTATTCTAAGTAGGGAATTGCTGAAGTTATTAGCCTATGAGAAATATCAAAGGAGACAAACATGTTGGATGTGGTCCCTCCTCTGGGCTTATATTATGGTGTTGCAAAAAGGCTCTGCTCACCACTGGAATTTACAGCTCTGGAACTCCCTCTGGATGCAGGCACATGTTCTTTTCAGAGATGAAGTCAGCTGAGGAGTTTTGTCCACTCAACCCTCATTCAGTCAAGCTGTGAACGCCTCAGGTTTAACACAGTCACGTCCTACCCTTGGAAGACCTTCCTTCCAGACTACTCCCAAGTGCTGAGGGAGGACTGACAACTCCTCCTGCTAAAGATGGCACCTCCCATGAAGAAGTAGTTATTCAGGGGAACAGTGGGACAAAGTTCCCCTCTTGAGACAAAGCAAGAGAGCATGACTTTCACCAAGCCTAGCACAGACAGCTTTTACCTAGGCTGCAGTCTCCACCACAACAGATATCCATGTATTCTACATTCAACATCCACCATATGAAACATTCAGTCGCTAGAATTGAGACTGAAACCAAGGTTTTTTCCACTTACAATGAACTGTCCAAACCACAATGTTGCAGAGTCTTGTGCACTCTTTCCTCCTGGCCCATAAACTCAATTATAAGCCAGCATATACAATGAAACAGCAACTCGGGGCAAGAATTAGAAGTAGTACTCATCATAGAACATCAGTCAAGGCTGCAGGACATCTGCATAGGTGCAGAAACGGATACTGGCACTGAAAAAACACTTTATTGGTGGAATCAAAGAAGCCTCAAAAAATACAGGTGTCCTCCAAGGTAAGTCAGTGTGTTTACAGGCAGTGTGTAAAAATTCCTAAAAGGTGACATAAGTTACTTAAGTACACGTGTATTAACACAACTGATCACAATTCCCGTTTCTGACTTCACGTTCTTTTCTGCATTTAAAAAGGCAGTTGCTATAAGTATACATGCAAACTTTATTACCTGACCCTATTAGTCATTTACATTCATCAGGAATCAAAAATACTGAAGTGAGTATCTCAACTAAACATGTTGGTAAAATCGTAAGACAGGGCAGGCATTAACATACACAGAAGCACAGTACATCCAAGCAGAATGCTGACGTTAATCTAGGAGTAGGTTCCGTAACTTAAATACTGAGTTAAATGTCTATTGTTGTTGATTGTTTATTTTTGTTTGGAGTTGGGAAGTGGTGTGCTTAAACTGTATATTCATCTGGTAAAAGTATCTGCTCTACATTTTCAGAACTTAAGGCTAGTCAATTCCAGATGAGTAACTGTAATGAAAACCAGGTGACTGCAAAAGGAAGCAAATGTCACAAGTGCATATTTAAACCTTTGGGTAGTCTAAAGCTCCACTCTAGACAGAGAATGCAGGAGAAAAGAACGTTACAGGCCTTGAAAACTAGAGACATGTTCTATACCTTACTTACAAGCCAGCTGTTTTACTGTTTAGGTTTTAAAGGAGTATGCCCATTTGTTTTCAAATTTCATTTCACATAATGCTCTTCTTTCTATCCTACCCTCAGCCCCATTACAAGACATTCATAAATGGACTGAACTTCTGAACTGCTTGGTATTAGAAAAATAACTTTTCTATTTAAACAATACTTTATGCAAGTTTCATGTTAGACACCTTTATTGCCTATTTTAGAAAAACAGCAGTCAAGTCAAAATGAAAACAGACAGAAGGGGAAATGTTTTTTAATTATACTATTTTAAATGTTTCATTTTAAAATCAGCTAACACCCACATACTAGAGGAAATGATAAGAAACGATGAAATTTAAACTACATTTAGATCAAATCAAGAAAAATTACATGGAAGAAAGTTTCCTGGTAAGTATTACTAACCATACCAAAATGTTAACCATTCTTTCAGTGCTTCATAGCCTCATAACGAAGACATGCACAACAAATAGAAGTCTCAACAGTATCAGGTCTTGACCTGACTCAAATCACATCCAAATGCAAGAGAATTCAAATAGACTGTGAAGAACATTTAAAGAAGGAAAGAAACAAACAAGCCAGCAAGGAAGCAAGCAAACTACCCTCGCCTTACAGCTCTGGAAAAAAAAAAAAAAACAGTTATTTCTGCTGCTATGATCTTTCAGCCAAAACCAGAAAATATTAAGTTCTTAGTCAGAAAACAAATAATAAGTCATTAAGTGATAGCGAGTGAACTTATGGAATCAACTAGCATTTGTGCTCATGTGTAATGGTACATGTGGTTTCCTCCTCTTTGTCACTAAATAAAAGCACTGCTCAGTCTCATACAAGAGATTTCCCAGATGGTTACAGTGAACCACTCTATTATAATGGAAAACCATCTATAACTCAGATGTACTAAACAGCTACTAAGAATGTAAAACACGGGTAGGTGAACAATTTTTCATAGAATAAACACGTCACTTAAGTCCCCCCCACATTCCTAACATTGAAGAATATTTGTCAGAGAACGACGTGATTAACTTCATCTGCATGTAATTCACCTCCCCGGTAACGCTCAACCACACTGGCTTACCGTTGGGTATTTCAATTATGCAATCAGGTTTCCACGTTGAAAAACCTGGCAGTTAAAAAATGCATGCTTTTTTATTTGCCTATATTCTTAATCCAGTAGGGAAAAAGCAAACAGGTAGGTAAGGGAAACTTCTTCCACCCAGTGTGAACAGGCATGGCGGTTCCTGAGGAAGTGGTTAAACGAACTGGGGGCTGGGAGGGGGAGAAGGTGCAAAACCAAAGTCAGACCACCTATAGCAGCGATATACAAAGACACACAGAACATGCTGTGCTCCTTCTTTTGTTAAGGCAAAGAAATAAGGTCACTTATAGCACTACCAACCACACACATAGATGCTTAGCTCTCAGGCTGCCGTATCTTTTGGTAATTTAGTCTTTCTACATGTCAAGTCAAATTTGAGGTCAAGACATGTCAGCAACAGATCTTCCTGAACAAGTAACACATCAGTAGCAGGCTTACTTTACTGAAAAATCGTAGCCAAACTCTTTTTTTTTTTTTTTTTTTTTAATATTGCCTCTATTTCTTCTTTGCATTCTAGAAACAACTTCTAGTGGTTTGGCTACTTTGATAACTAATTACTATCCAAATTTAAATACATACATACACACACATATGTACTTATACATTTTCAAATTAAATGCTTTCTAGCCCGCACAGAAAAACACATATTTTTCCTCATTATAGTAGTAGCATGCCAAGAAAAAAAAAAGATACTTAATCTTTATGTTAGAGCAAGACACACAAATATGCATTTTCAGACAGCAGCCAGAAAAAACACAGCAAAGCCAACAGTGTAATGTAGTTTTTAAACCCTTAAGGAAAGTAATCTTCTTGAGTCAGTTAGCAATCAATTGGAGGTCAAAACATTCAGGCTGGAAATAGGAGGGAAAAAAGGGGAAGACAGCAAGAAGGCTTCCTGGTTTCTTTACATAACCTAGTCAATTAATTTATTTGTTTGTAGCCCCCAGTATTACATCCCTACTTCCCCAATAAGAGCAAAAGACACACTTCTAACCAAAAAATAAATCAATTGCTCAGTGGACAAAAATATTAACAAATGAAACACTTATGAACCGAATGTTAAAAAAATAAAAAGGGTCATGATTATCTTGAGAAAACAAACCTGTATTTTGACATGGACAATCTTATGCTCACATTCACATAGAATCCTAAATGATATATCTATGAACTACCTTGAAAAATCAGTATCTGCCTGTTTTGTATTGATAAGGACCTTCAAGCCCCACCCCCAAGCCTGACAGTACCACACCAGTTTAAAATTAAAAAGCTGTCTGCTTGCAAAATTGGGGGAACAGGCTAACTTCCAGAAATATCACCTTATTTTGCCAGGTTGCTTGTGCATATTGTGCTTAGATTCAAATGGGTAATAAAATCTGTCAAAGACATTTCATAACTATGTTTACAAGATCCAAAATTACGCAAGATATTCCAAAGGGAGGGGGGGGGAGAAACCCCAACCACTAGAGGATTGCTTTGACATACCAGTTAAGATTGCCGAGTGATAAGTGTATTCATCATGTCATGCACTGTTGAAAACACCCTCATAATCAAGGAAATGAGTCATTAGGGACACAAAATCCTACACTGCTCCCATAACAAGGACACCATAAAGCAGGGAATATTTTATCAGATATAATTCTAATTCACTCTACAATAAAAATTGTTTCCTCCAATAATCTCATAATAAAAATTGGAAAAGTCTTAACTAGCTTCCAGATCTAAATTTCTGACTAAATTGCACTTTCTAACCTCCATGGATTATTTTAATTAATTGCCTTTGATGACTTTTTACCTAGGAAATGAATGTTTGTTAAAACAGAAAGCAAAGCATGAACAGATTACTAAATGAAGTGAGATCAAATGAGAAATGGCTCAAAGCTTAATTTCATTCCAAAAATCGGGTCTGAAACTTTCACACTATGAACCTCAGCCACATATACACTAGTTAATTTTTTTTGTCACATCTCTGTTGCAAGGTGCTAAGGCTGACAATCACCAAAACAAAGATTCACGCATTGATCTCATTTAACAACTGCACATCTTTAAGGGCTGGGCTTGGGAAAGGCAGGTGAAAATTTTTATCCTGCTTACATTTAAACCAGCTGTAACGAGATGTGCACTAATCTGTGGATAAATCAAGAGTCTACCATGCACACATGAGTGTCTTTCCTTACACACCTGTGTGCCGTATATATCCCACTTCCACAATGCCTCAGACTACTCTGTCTCCTTACCATATGCTATACTTTAAAGAGTCATTTCAAAACACTGATTTTTAGTTAATCATGAAATACTTTGGAGCAGTCAGTAGTAGAATTTTTCCTTCAAAGTTTATCTTCAAAATCATTGTGAAGATTAGATCTAGTTTCTGAACAAAGGCAATGTATTAAACGTCTCACTACTACTTTCCTCTGAAGCAGTCTCTTTCCTCAGCTAACATTCAAATTTTGTGACAGACCGATTTTGAGTAAAGCATACATGAATTTTTGAAAAGAAAATATTCATCACCTTTAATTTAACTTTACTGATTTTAAAAGATACCACATATTTAAAAACAGACTTCCTTTTTTTGCCATTAAAAGTAAACTTAGGTCTAGCTTCTAAGGCCAAAATTGAGACCCTGACCTCATCTTCTAACAGAATCAGTTCCAGAGCACCATGCTATATCACACAGGCAAAGATAACCACTACCACTATGGTTAGCTCATACACCAGTAACCGATTCAAATGGAAAAAAAAAAAAAAAAAAAGTAACTCTTTTAAGGAAAATAAGACTGTCTAAAAAAACCCCAAATCTAGCAAGCTTTACTTAAAAAGACAAGGAATGATTTTAACTAAGTGTAACAACCTATAAAGTCTGTAGAGCTACTAACAAGCATTCCTGTATTGCAGTGACCCAGAGAAACAGATGAAAGACCACCGTACCTCAAAATTAAGTTTACTGAATCAAAAAAAGTAACTTTTTTTTTTTTTTACATACTACTTTTGTTGTTTAAATTTCAGAATGAATCTGGTAATTTCCAGGCCAAATTCGTTTTCCAGATGTAGGGTGACAAATAACCTTCACACATACAGACCATTAGGTCCACACACTGTCCATCAGCTTACCCCTGAGCCTACATGCAGCTGACTGAACAGATTTTTTTGCAGGAAGAAGGTCCTACCTACCACTCTGCAGTTTCAGTGGGTTCTCCCCTTCTCCTGTATTCTAGTAAGAATGGAAGGAAAGAGGAAATGAGGACCTCTAGTAATAAAAAGGAAAAAGCAAAAGGAGAAACAAATACTCAAGGAGATGGAAACACTAACGAGGAGCTGAGATGAAAAGGAAAGCCAGGACAGTTAGTCTGTGTACCTGAGCTTTTACAGTATATTTGTTTTGGCACCGACTGCAACAGTCCAATGCCAAAAACCACAGTGTGGCAGAATGCTGTTACCTATCCCAATGAAAAGAGAGCAGTGTAACTGTTTTAACTGAGAGAACAAAACCAAAAACTGATGGGGAGGAGGGCGGGGGGAAGGACAGGAGGACGGACTCGCAAACAAAAAACAACTCCCCCCCAAAAAAATCAAAAGCAGTCTGACTCAGTACAGTCATGCTCTTGAAAGTTCTACTCGGCCCAAAACATTTAGTCTCACATATAAATAAAGCATTGAGTAATACTTGGGGTTATTCTGAACTAACTGAATTTACTAAGTAATTTAGTACATTACTGCAAACACAGAAAAAATATCATCAATTCAGCATGTGGATTTCCACCATAATCATCATGCACTAGGCCCCAAACAGCTTCCTCATGCTAGCTCTCCTCTGTACTTTTTATGGCCCCAGCGTCATTTGCAAATGCCACAATGTATGCTTCTGACCAACTGTGAAATTACAGCTCTTATTCAACAGAAGTTAGAATGCAAGAAACAGATGCCAGGCAAATATATTTAGCTTTTGCAGGAAATACCAGTCTACAGCCAGAATTGCTCTTCAATATCTAACAAAATTACGTTATTTAAGAAAAAAAAATGTATTTAACTGACAGTGACCTGAAAAGCAAGTTTTAAGCATACTTCAGAAGTACAATTCCCCTTATTAAAAAAAAAAAAAAACAAAAACAAAAAACAACCACAACAAACCCCGAATCTCTGTTTCAGCAGACACAATCCTATCTTTCTGCAGTTGTTCTTCTAAAAAAAGAACTCCAAATTATACACTGAACAATTAGCGAGTCCAGTGAGAATTAATGAATCCAAAAAAAAGTTGGAAAAACTCTTCAGACTATCACAGGTGTGCTTAAAAGATTGCAATCTCACTTAGGTGAGGCATGGCTCCTTGTGGTTTCATGACTCTATGAAAAGTTGTTGAGAAATACCACATCTGAGCTGTTCCGGAGTACTTTTCATAATTACATGATTTGCACAACAGTGATGAAGGTGTGGCACATCACACAAATTCAAATGATTTAGTCTGTGACACCTTGCAGTCTTGCCAACGCCTCCAGCTACTCTGCTTCCAACTTCAGCAGAAGTTTCAGAAATTAAAGTGCACAGAAAGACTGCACTCTAATTGGAATTAGCAGATATCTGCATGTAGTATTTCACATGACAGCACTGATTAAAAGCCATTTTCAGTTTCTGGACAATTCTACTTTATATATTCATCTCCTCTTAAATGTCCAATTACAATAACAACAACAACAAACTGCTTCTGGATCTGCAAAAAGGCATTCTGTGGTCTCTTTTGATAGTCTTAAAGCTCCTCAAAGCAAATGAGTGCTGCTTTCTGCATCGCTTACTGTACAGAGCATGCCTGACTGCACTAAATACTCATGGGAAAGCATGCCATTTTCTAAACAAGAGTGCTTAAACTCTCAGACTTCCAAACTACACAGCGGTAATGTAACAGACATCCTGAAGACACTTAAAAATGAACACACACCTTTACTTTTTTGCCCCAAATCAAAAAACATACATGCTTGGACCAACACGCTTGTCAATGCTTCCTCTTACTGCTTTTTTAAGAGTCTTCCTTCACCACAGGATTTCCATAAAAACTCTGTCAGGTGGCTTCAAGGGGAACTGATTTAGGCCAAAAGAGCAATTCAGGCTGGTGCCCATGCTACTCTAATCAATTCCCTAACTTCAGTAAAGCTAGCTTCCAAATATCTGTATCAAATGCAACACTGCTCCATTATACAAAGACACGATATTCAATATCAAACAATATTCAAAAGTGCCTCCGTATTACCTTGTGAAGGTATTGTTGCAATCAGGAGAGTTCTTGCAGATAAGTAAGGAAAAGGTACTTAGCCAATATTCATCACTCACTCAGTGTGACAATTCCCGCTCCTCAAATCGAAGAAACACAAGATAATGATAAAAATAGCCATTGGCAGTCTGAACTAAGAACTCACTCTCCAACCTATTCTGCAATGTTTTGCTATCGCTGGCACGTCACGTGGCTGCCAGAAAGCTTCCTGTATCAGTATCTTCACTTACTCTCCTTTTCTGGAAAGGTCAGCAGCAACTCCGAACAGGACTGACGACAAGTTCTGAGTCATTTTAACACAACATGTTTGATGAGAGATGCCTTATTATTACAGACTGCAGAAAATTACCTTCTAAATATTTTCCTCCAACTGAGGCAACACCACCACCACCAAAAAAACTAAGTCCACAGAACCTCAGAAAACAGCATCAGAAGCAATAGAAAATGCATTACATTTTGACAAGATATTAATTCATACATGGCATTTTTGCTGTTTAATTTTATACTACAGTTGCAGCAAAATCAGCAAATAAGAGATGGTATTTATTGTGTATTGACATAAACCAGTATTACATATATTTAAAAAATTAATCTCACTAAAATGAGCACAAACAAGAGAGACACATTCGGGAGCTAATGTAACAATAAATCCGTTTTACTAGCTGGAACTGAAAAGGGAGACACTATATTTTACTGTACTAGTAGGAATGCAAAATCCATTTTTAAAAAGAACAATTTTAATTTGCTTTAAATTAACAAGAACCTGCTGTTTGTTCATTAGAATGTTTTAAATTAAATGTACCTACCTTTTTCCATAGCCACTTGTTAAGAATTCAATAATCACCTGTGCAAGTACTGCGTGACTTACTACCTTAGTTTTCTTTAAAACCGTAGCAAACAGTCACTCCCCTAGGCACGGTATCAACATCGATCTATTAAGTTCCCTAAAGTGTTTGGCACCTTCTTCTTGCCTCCCAGCTGTAATAAATCAGCTGACTGCCCAGCAACTGGCTCTCCCTGTAAGTGCTGGTTTGGAAAAAACACTTCTAAACAACAAAGAAAAATTTCTTCTAATAGCTGAACTTCTTTGTTGAGAAGCAGCATGCCTAACAGGGTTCCATAGCTATAAACTGGCTAATTTTTGAAGTTGGAAAATTGTATTAATACCTGAGCATATATTTTTAGTTTTGGCAATTTTATCTTTTTAAAGTTGTCTGAAGGGTGGTTCCGTACTGCCATATGCTTTTGGTTGACAACTCAGCTTACCCTTGATACTCTGAAGATAACAGATAGACCTTCAGAGTCAGACTTCTTATCATTATTTTTTTTTCAGTAAATAAACATTAGGGAAAACCGGTTTTCCTGTACTACTCCTTTTCTTCTACACATTCTGCGTATTATTCCACTGTTAAGTGTGCTCCCTCTAAAAATCAAAAGCATTACAGAGTAAAATAACTGGTTTTGCCAAAGGAAGCAGCAGCACTACCACACCTTGGCTCCAGGAAACTGCAATCAAGGAGGAACTCAAGTAAGCAGCAGCCTTCCCACACGAAAGCACCGATACTGCGAAACAAAGGACAACCATCTTTCCTTTAAAGAAAATGAACACCTTAAAATATAACCAGCATTTCGGTGCTCCCTGGTCGGTCATTCCTGAACGAGGCTTTTTTTCGGGTGCTCACGGGCACAACACCACCCGCTGCTGCTCTAAGTGGGGCCTACTTCCTCCATTAAACGTACTTGGTTGTCCCTACTTTCATATCGAGCATAACTAAGTACATTACAGTTAGAGCAAGCAAAAACATGTACCAAAAGTGACAGCAGTCATGGGAGGTTATCTGTTTAGAAGTGTTCGATGATCCATTAGAAAGCTAAATTTAAAACGCCTTGGGCAGGACACGTTTAAAGGGAAAGCCCCTGAACAAACAAGATCGTACGAGGGACAGCACTGAAGACACAATACATTGCAAAGACAGT